AAATATATTATCGCTTTGTGGATTATGTCCATCTAATGCGGTAGATCATTTACTACACACGACAACAGTGTTATCTCGATACGAAGTCAAACAAATCACGTGCCCTTGCTTTGGATCTGTGATGCTGGACATTTTTGGTTTTACCAAACCTCGGCAAGAGTTTGGCAAAATTCAAAACAAGCTGGGCGCTGCAACCAGCCAAGTCTGGGCGCATCAGGGACCAGGCGATGCCAATATCTACAGATAAAGCGGCACGTAATCTTGTCAGTATTGTTTCGCCAATTTCTGGAACGCCTGAGTCAAATACAGCTGGGTGCCAACCCTGGCCCACACGTGCGTGTGCCGCGAGTTGGAAAATGCGTTTAGTGTGTAGCCATGCGAAAGCCCACGAGGCTCCACGTGGGACCACCTGTTGGGAAAGGGCCGAGCTCAGCAGAGTCGACAGAGGGGGTTCTGTTACTGCTGCTCTCACTGGACTGGTTAACACAAGGGATAGCCCAACATGAATGCCTCCTGATCCCTGATCCATAGCTACGACAGATTAATCCCTCATCTTTTATTTTCATTGTCAAAGGTGGGACATACCCAATAATATCTACCCCAGGGAGGAAGCGACGAAATCGGCTCACATGCAGGAGCTGGATGGATTGTTGCATTGAAAAACCATGAGGGATGGCTCTGACCTAGGAAGGCCTTCATCCAGCAGTGGATAGATCGTGGCTGCTGAACTTTTTATTGATAAAAATGCATTCATTAATTGGATTGTCATCAGCGTTACATGGTGAATATTTGTCACATTGCAGAAGGCCTCCTCCTACGCGACAATGCCAGATCAGAAATGAAATTGCGATCATCAGACGTCATTGTACACTTCGGATGACCTGTGTTAATCCATCCACTGCGCAGGCCAGACCTGGCATCGTCAGATTGTTCACATGTTGAATCTTTTTAAGAAAACGCCTACGTGGGCAGCGTTTTTAAAATGTCACTGCTGTAAACCGTGATGGGACGTTGGTCCTGGTTCCAGTGTGTATGAAAGTCGAGAGATTGTGTTGAAAACATCCACATGTTAGTGAGATTCCATGAATTTTTTTTCTAAAATGTTTTATTTATCCAAAAAAGTTAATAATTAACGAAAAGGAGGCGGTACCTTAGGGACATCCCTCATATTATTGCCCGGTTATTTCAGTGGGGAATTACCAAAGAGAAATCTCTAAACCAAATCCACAGGATGGGATTTTAGTGCAGTCATTAATGATGGAGCTGTAACGATCAAACTGTGTCGATACATGAAGTCAGGGCTTAATACTAGCCGGGTCTATCTGGGTCAGTGATCTGGAACATATTTTCTTACCCGGCACACTACAATTTCTCTCTTGCTACAGCTGTGGATACTAGTCACGTGCCACCTACTACAGTCTACCAGCTACACGGAGAATATTTAATGATAATCTAAGCCCTGCATGAGACAGAGTTTTCACCTGTACTAGTTTCCCCAGGATCGTCCTTTTTTTGAGGACAATATCTGTCACTTCACATAAAAAACACTATTTACACAATCCACCGGCCCTACAACCTTCTGGGAGTGCATAACCTCTACATCATTGATTCAAATACAAGCATATTTTGGGCTAGTTTCGACACAGAGTGACTTATCAGCAGTCAGGCTTACTTGAATAAATGTTGGTGAATTTTAGGTAGCTTTCCTAGGATATAAATAAGTCTTTCCAGGACAATTAAAAGTTCTGGTTATTATCCGTTGTGTAATAATACACACTTAAGACAGTACAGTCACGTGAAGTTCTCGCGTCTTCTGGTATTGAGATATTCTTCTTCCCGAATGATGCAAACGTAGTCAGGCAGACATTAAGAGATGCATCTGGTGCTCCCGCATGATAGAAAGACCCTCCTCTACAACGTGTCCATCCTTTCCATGCTGCTGCTGTGCAGCTCAGAGATGCGGTCAGTGACAGCAGCGTCCGAGCGGATGTGCGTGCGGCGGTCACTCCGCATCCACTCCAGCAAGCAACGGCGCCAACGCCAAGGTCCGTCATTGAACGGCATCTCCTCCTCCAGTGGTGACTGAGACGGTCATGGTCAAGAGACTTCCTCGCTTCGGACACGGCGCCCGAGCGGATGCCTCGGCCGATGGCACCAGACAGAGCCCTGGTGCCATCGGCCTCGGGGCAGACCCCGCGGTTGACGTGGACGTGCAGAACTGTTGAGGCTGAGGTCGTCCACCACGGGTTTTCAACTCTGCTCAGCGTGGTGGCGTCCTCGGGATAGGGTCATGTGGTTGCACTGGCGGAGCCAGTGGGGGGTGGCACGTGCCCCCTCAATGATCCGATCGAAATCCCAAATTTCGAGCGGATTATTGGAATTTATTCGTAATAAATTGGCATTTTGCGACCGCCACTACCACTGTGTAGCATATTATTATGTGCCAGGGACTTTATGAAATGATAGGACAATAGTCTGAGTCCATAATTGGCAATAAGTAACGGCAAAGCAGTTATAAGTGACTCAGAATTGTGCGCAGTTGCGTATACAGGACACGACTTCCCTGAAGGCATTCACCTTCAGCGAGCGCGATGCCTATCACACAACGCGGTTCGAATTCGCCCCTCGATCGATGGCTGCGCCATCGCCGCACACGCGTCGAATAAAAAGCAAAGGACAAGTCCTTACTTACTAACAACTCCTCTATCATTTTTCATTGCTGGAGGGATTGCCACCCCCTACCTGAAAATCCTGGCTCCGCCATTGCCTGGTTGTGTCTTGTGGTGACTGCTGCGCCCCAGCCAGAGGCGACCGACTGATGATGAGAATGGGATGATATCCTGCTTATTTTTTTTGTACCTCCGAGGTTGCAACCGAGCATGAGACACTGGCCAAACCGGGATTGTAGGTGCACAGTGCGTGCGTTTGTCCATGGCACCCGTGATTCCAGAACCTCGACGGCGATTAACATGCACACAAGCAAGCATCCACATTAGCACATGAATGTCGGCGAAGGGAATGAAACGTAACTTTGTGTTCTCAAGTCCATGTCAGGAGCTTGGGAGACAAGGGCACGGGGGGGGGGGGTTATTTAGCATTGGGACTGTGGCCATACAAACTCTATGCTCTTTCATTCAACGATCCTCCCTGTGCCACTGCATCTCGCCTAATTTATAAACGATCATTTACTGCCCTTAGGCAATTCACTGCTGGATGGAGGCCTCCTCACGCTGTATCAGTTGTAGGGATTGTGGTGATTTGCTCTGGGGTCATATAACATTAGGGCCTCCATGCAGGCACTGAGCCAGTTGGAAATCCACATTCCCATGACAAGGGCCAGTATATCCATATAACCACCAATGTTGAAGGGTGTCTCCACTAAACACAACAGCCGCCATTTGCTACTAAGTTATGTTGACGTCTCCAATGCTTGTGCCAGACTAGATGCAGACACAACGTCAAGTGTGAAAGGCTCACTGACAGGTCAAGGGACAGACCCTGGCGTTACGGGCTACCCGAGATGACTGACAGATGCACCACTTGTGTTCCCCACTGTGCCAACTTGCTGCGTTTTAGCCACTTGGCGCTCCACTCGTTCTAAGCGTTGCTTTTTTGCCCTCCACTCTTGTTGGGAGGGAGACTATCTCCAACTGCCGAGTCGCGTCCTTCACAAGCCTCGTCTACAGAGGCCAATCTTGACACCACTGATACCAATCTTTGGCAAGCCCAATCAGCTTCACATCCTCCTGTACCACATCAACCAAATTTCGTATATAACCTGTGCCATGCCTATTTAGCCTCTATCTGACCAAACAGAAGCTGATTTGGCATATGGTGGCTGGGCATGTGGGCTACATGGGTCGAGGGATTTCCCCTTCTCCAATACCTCAAAGAAATGCTCTGCAAACCTGCAGACTTGTTTCTGGGGGTTGCAGATTGGATCACCGATCTTTCCCTTTTCGGACATAAATATATGCGGCACTGCAAGTTAATTTGTTATGGAAATACAGAGCTAGATGTATGAGCTACCGAAGCATTTTCCACAACCCCTAACCACTACTCACCCTTGCAGCACCGCAAAGATCTCAGAACCTCCTAGTGAAGGCTGTGGTAAGCCTTCTCATTCTCCGTGGAATGTTCTAGACGGTGGGAGTTGGACTGGAGCTTTCTCTAAGCGAGCCAGAATACTTCCACCGTCAGCCAGGATCTCTGGGGTGTTCTGGACTGCATACTCAAAATAACCATTTTATTTGCATGAGACACGGTCCTAAACCTCTAATTTCCCCTCCGCATCAGGAAGGGGCATGATGCAATTTTCACTTGCAACTTTCATCAACTTGTTGATCCCAGGCTATTTTGAGTTTGAATGGGATCCTAGGTGAACGGCAGTGGAAGAATGGCAGGCCCATCTTACAAATGACAGTGGAGAGATCAGCTCCAAAGTCGGTGCTGGTGTCAAGGACATAGGGTTCGCATCCGTTGTTCCATCAAGGTGTAGTCCAGCAGATGTTTTTGCTTGGACCTGGTGTGCATCCATGATGTTGTGTGGATGTGCCGATGCCGGAACAGTGTTTTGGTGATTACAAGCCAATGGGCTGCACAAAAGTCTAGCAGCCTCCTACCGTTATTGAGTTGATCTGGCCCATGCCTTCGAATCACTCCAGCCCAGGTACGTGCGTTATGATTCACGGTGGGTCACAGAAGGCATCTGACTCACCAGCAGATATCAAACGTGCATACGTGAGCACGCCAGTGACGCCACAACACTGGAACAGAACAACGTGCCGTGTTCTTACTCAACATGCCCCGTGTGGCTCTTCTTGTGCAACGCTTTTATAACGCAGCCCGGCCACGGAGTCCGCCCCGCCTCGTGCGCACGTCACCGGCGGGGAGAGAGGGGGGGAGGAGGGGCTCGTGCCCAGCGGGGGGGGGGCTGGGTTGAGGAGGGGGGGTTGGGGAGGCGGGGCTGGGGAGGCGGGGCTGGGGAGGGGGGTGGTGCACGCCTCCCCACGTGTCCGCGCCACAACTAACAGCAGCCATCTTGAGTGGGGGTGGATGCCGCCCAATCGCACTGCACGAGGCCGCCTGCGACAGCGTCGGCGCGCGAAGACGTCGCGGGTCCCGTCGTCGTCGTCCCCCGTGCAGTACCACGCGGTCTCCCCACGTAAGATGGCCGCGAGCGGCCTCGCGTGGTAGACGCGGAGGGAGGGAGGGAGGGGCCCTGAGGGGCCCTCCCCCTGCTCCCACTCCTCCCGCTGCTGCTGCCGCCTTCGCCGCCGCCGCCGCCGCTCCGCTCACCCCCCCGGGTCGCGGTCACAGCCCGCGGGCCTCTTTGCCTTGGGGGGAGCTGCGCGCGGTGAGGTCCGCGCCCATGGCGGTGGCGAGCGAGGAGACCGCGGGCTCGGTGTGAGCGCGGCCCGGGGATCCGCGTGACGGGAACAGCACCATCAGCAGCAGCAGCAGCACCATCATCAGCACCATCATCAGCAACAGCTCGACATAGTCGCGTTCAACCCTTGACCGCCATAACTTTAAACTCTTATCACCACCAGCTTCACCTGACCCTCGTCGCAAGCACTCATCGTCATCCAGCTCCACCTCCCGCGCGACAGCCGAGTGCGCCGCCTGTCCACCCGCACGCCGCTCCACCCACAGCCCTCGCCCGCCGTGTCCGCTCCGTCCACCCCCTCGTCCTCCCCGTCCTCTCCGCCCGCGCCCTCGGCATGGACGTGCTGGAGGAGCTGCAGGGCGAGCGGGTGCTGATCCTGTCGCGTCTGGACGCCGCGGAGCTCTCCCTGGCCGCGGTGGACGCGGCTGCGCGCGTCTCCACGCAGCAGCTGGTGCTGACGCACAACGCGCTGGCGCGCCTGCCGCCCGCGCTCTCCTCCTTCACGGCGCTCTCGCTCCTCGACGTCAGCTCCAACGCGCTCGTCGCGCTGCCCGAGGAGCTGACGGCGCTCGCCTCCCTGCGCACGCTGCTGGCCAAGAACAACCGGCTGGACGCCTCGTCGCTGCCCAAGGACTTCGGCCGCCTCCACAGCCTCGAGTCGCTGAACCTGTCGGGCAACCGCTTCTGCGAGCTGCCCCCGCAGCTGCTGTCGCTCGGCCGCCTGCGGTCGCTCTCGCTGGGCGGCAACCGCCTGCGCTCCATCCCGCCCGAGATCTCGCGCCTCTCGGCCCTCGAGGTCCTGTACCTGGGGGGCAACGCCATCTCGTCGGTGCCCCCCGAACTGGCGCTGCTGCCCCGCCTCGCCTGCCTGGGCCTCTGCGACAACCGCGTGCAGAGCATCCCGCCCGAGTTCGCGCAGATGCACGCGCTGCGCTCGCTCAGCCTGCACAACAACCTGCTCATGTACCTGCCGCGGGAGATCCTGCACCTGGTGGGGCTGGCCGAGCTCAGCCTGCGCGGCAACCCGCTCGTCGTGCGCTTCGTGCGCGACCAGGCGTTCCGCCCGCCCGCCCTGCTCGAGCTGGCGGCCCGCGCCGTGCGGGCGCACTCGGTGCCCTACACGAGCGCCGAGCTGCCCGAGCACGTGGCGCGCTACCTGGACTCGGCCAGCAAGTGCCCCAACCCGCGCTGCGCCGGCGTCTACTTCGACGCGCGCGTCCGGCACATCAAGTTCGTGGACTTCTGCGGCAAGTACCGTCTGCCGCTCATGCACTACCTGTGCTCGCCGCAGTGCTCCTCGCCGCCCGGCGGCTCCACCTCGCCCAGCGACGCAGAGTCCGAGGACGACTCGGCGGGCCGCGTGGAACCCAGGCACGTGCAGAAGGTGCTGCTGGGATAGCGGCACCACCACCACCACTTCCGCGCCGCGGGCTCGGAGACGGGGACGGACGCGGACTCTGGACCGCGGTGCATCGAGGAACACTGCGTACGGGAGATATGCGCCTAACAATCGGCGCACTGCGACACTGCGTGCGTCCGAGTACACGGGGAACACTTGCACCGCTGCGATGGATGGATGTGTGATGTGCAGCTGGACACTTCTCACTAAACACACAAGCACACACGTTACGCAGGGCATTACACACGGGACACAGACACAGGACCGACAACACTCGCACACACGTCTCCACGTGCCAAAAGGAGGTGCTCGAGCGGCTTGGCTGAGCTGCCCCTTCCAACCCCGGCAGGGTCTCCCACTCTGGGTCCTGGGCTGAGTTGGGACCTCCAGGTCGTCCCAGCAGGACCAGGGACACCCACGAAGTAGCCCCCTACCGGGGGCTGTGACCCCGTGTACGTTCTGGACTGTAACCAAGCACTTTCCTGTTGCCTTATGTGGTTATTAACATTTCACTTAACCTTATGAGCCAGGCGAGAGCACTTTTGAGATTCGTGACTTTTGAAGGGACGCCTGGATGACCCCAAGTTTTACATTGGGATAGCTACTAAGGTTGCTTAAGTTGCAGATTATTTGTCATGCTTTTCTTTTGGCCGCGACGCCGGCGCTCACGGGCGTATTAACTTTATTAAAACGTCACGGCGAAGGCAGGGCTTTGATGCCAACCTCGCAGCGGACGTTGTCACACTTTGTCGATTTCCCACAAAAATCCCGGGCAGCTGTAACAGGCAGAAGTTGAACCGGGGCTGGGTGGCCACGGCGTGGTGAGATGGGTGGAATTGCGGTTGTGTAACCGGGGTGACCGTAAGGTGCCACCACCGACCCCTGTTCCCACCGCACGGAGAGACGCGTCAATGAGTAACCACGGCGCCATCCCGGCTTACCCGAGCCGCCTAGTCTCGTCTGTGCACGAGTGATTTTTACGCTGACACTAAACTTACAAAAAAAAAAGAAATAAACAAAAAATATTTCTTACGCAAGCAATGAGTTGTCTGGAGATTGTGCGATTGTCGCTTTAACCGGAGTCTTGTTTTGTACGACGGGAATCGCTCACAAAGGGATATCTTGTTAGGCGATTCACTCGGTGGCTTCTTGAGATGCCGGGTGGAGGAATGAAGCGGCGTTGCCGCAGCAGATCTAAGTGCAGGGCAGATTGATGCGATATGTTCCAAATGTCGCACCTGGGGTAACATCCCTCCTCTTCCACTCGTGAAGCTGGCGTCAGCGCCCGTGTCCTGTTGTGCGGATTCGGTTGAGTTGACGATAGCGGTCTTCGAGGGAGGTCGAGGCCTCGCAATCTGCCGTTGGGCAACATTGAGGTAAGATAGGAGAGCGACAAACCAAAGTGCTGTGGTGACGCCTACATCTTGTGTGCAGTCGACAGCGCGGACGGCCAAGACTCTACACATCAACACAGACTGTAGTAATACTACCAATAGTGCTGTCCACACAGCGAAGCCTCGCCAAGTCTCGGTACAGTAGAATGCTGAATTTGCTCAATTGGTGACATTCCATTCGTGCATGTTGTTTGTTGGTAAGAAACTCAACACTCACATTACAGAGATAAACCTCCCAAGGTTCACAAAGATGGGTTAACCCCAACATGCTGTACCGCCATCTGGGAACCTTGCATCCCATTGGCTTTGTGAGATGTCCAATCGATACTGGATCTGCGAAGTCCATCAACACGTTTTTCCGCAGCGTTGGACCACAAGCGTGTGCCAGCGCGGCCGGCATGGCGAGGAGTCCACTGAGTTCGACGAGATGGCACCGGTGGCGCTTGTCAACAGCAGACGCTCTCTCGGGGAAAAAGGACCTTTGACCCCGACCGTGGGGGTCAAAATAACCTCTTACCTGCGATGAAGGGCCATTTCCTGAAATGTCGCCTATTTTATGTTTTCTTTCAGGGCCACGATATTATTTGACGAATGTGTTGAGTTTTTTGTTAACTGTGCCCCTGTGCACCACTGCTAACGCAGTATCACCGACACGCCCGTTTGATCGTGTACACAAAGTGCCATGGAGACTGGTTGAGCTGGCTCCAGCATGTGCCTGTGAATAATAGTGGCACGGCTTTATGAACACAACCGTATTGCGTGCCTCAGAAGCAGCAGCAGTAGCCTGCAAATACATTTGGCACGACGCCTGTGGTGGAAGAATAGATCCTAACTTCCTGCATGAGCCACAATGCTAATACAAGTTTCACCGCTTGCCCCAACGTGGACCCCAGTTATAACCTAACACAGTCGTGTGGATCGGTGGATGGATGATGAGTAACTAAGTAGTTGAGCGAGTGAGTGGATGGTATAGGGGATGGGTGAATAACTGGGTGTGTGAATGGAGTGGTACTGAATTGATGAGTGGGTGAGTAACCGTTTGAGAGGTGAGAAAGTGAGTTGTGCGAGTAAACAGGCAAGTGCCTTGATGAGTGGGCAATGTCGTGACTGGGCGAGTGGATGGGTAAGGACATTGGTGAGTGAGGGACTGGGTGGGTAAATGAGCAGCCGATTGGAAGCATCTAAAAATGATACTGAGCGAGCGACTTATTTATTTCGTAGAGAGCTACATATATATGTTGAGCGTGAAATCAATCCTACATATGTTCTATTTGCTCAGCGCGTGGGGAAGAGTTCCTGGAAAAGCCCCGACTAAACACTGCATATAATTAGCTGCACTGAGTTCACGGCGTCCCATCGAACACGATCTCTCATCTGGGCACCGCCTGCCCCAGGCTCGCAAACCCACGCGTGGCTCCTCCACAGAGGTCTCTGCAACAAGCAGCCTTGCACACTATCATAAGTAATGTCACTCCTTTTATATCCAGGAGAGCCCAAACCTCACCTCTTTGGTTTGGCCAGTTCCCCTCAGATACCCAGCCAGGTGTCTCATTGCAAGAGAAGGTGGCTCGCAATAGGAAGTGAGTGAAAATCCTGTATGGGGTTGATTCAGCCCATCATCCCTCGAGATTCAATAACACGAGTTCCACTTTGTGGGGAAGTCAACGGTGGTTGTCCTCTGGATAAATTCGCCCCCGTCATAGGAATATGGAATTCCCACAACTGGATTAGAGCTATAAACAGGAGATGAGCACCACCTCAATGCTCAGGTGAACAGAAAGCCACTGGCTGACTCTTTGAGGAACGTTTCGCATGTACAAAGAGGCTGGAGTACCCAGTGAAAAGCCACCATGTGTAACCAAGCGATACCACTCAAAGATCCATGCAGATGTGCTCATGAACCCACTTGCTGCACTGCAATCTCTAAGCAACTTCGCAGCCTCGTGGGCTTGTGAGTTTCACAAATGTTGCGCGATTCGCCAACCCTTACTTCCGTCCAGAGTGCTCGATCCCAGGCGTGCGCCCGTGGAACCCTGCCGGGTGCGGCCGCAGGTGACGCTCGGGCGGTGCTATGGAGACTCCCGCTTCGGCTGAGCAGACGTGTGAAGCGGGCTGTCGGCGTTATTTGAGCCGTGGGTCCCCACAGCCAGCTCCACGTTGGCTTTCGCATCGAACCGGGGCCATGGAAGCCCCCCCCCCCCCCACGCGTTCATGCTGATACCCACCCGGGGCGGCGCAAGTCTGTTGCTGGATATTGTGATGATGCTAGTGATGGCAGTGGTGGTGATTGTGGTGGAAGCAATGTGGGTTTTTCTTGCAAAACTACATCTATTACAACGACCACATCACTGAGAGGAGTAAACACGGGACACGCATGCTCATTATAGCGAATCTCACGATTTAATGAGTTAATTATCTCATTACTGGACATCTGTGAAAAAGAGCTTAATTTCTCATCGGGCTTCTCCAAGATTAATTAAGATTCTGATGAAGATCACAGTTAATGATTATATTTAATGCACAAAAGACCTGGGAGGTGGGTCAATTGTTCGATACATTCACCACTGCATCTGCAGAAAGTTAGGAATTGAACCCTGTAACTCTGGAGCGATTTGTGGGTAAATAAAGACACACGCAACGAAACGAAGATGAAAAATATTGTTTGTCTTTTCCCCCAATGTCAACATGATCGCGCTATGGGTGACGCAAAGATTCCATTTAGATCTCTGGCAGAGCAGTGCAACCCTTTGTGTTTGAAAACGGCCCTGGAAGCAGACATCAAGGAGCTACCTCTGAGATCCCTTCCAAGATGCCCTCCACACTTAGTGGCGGCACTTTCCCACCTGTTCTGCCCCCGAGAGTCATATTCATCGCATGCCGGTTAACCTGCATTATGGGTGCCGGTTAAACTGGAATTTTGCCACATTAAGACCATTACCAAAATGTATGTGTTTTTGGTAGTCACTGGTGACCGGATGAGACTATCATCAACTCGCTACGCTTGAGAACCAGATTTATTCATGGGCGGCTGAAACCTGGATTCAAACCCAGGATCTCAGCAGTGCCGGGCTCAGTGCCCTGACCTAATAGCCACCCGGCCACCGCATTGGAATGTTAAAGATTTAAGAATGTGTATATTTTTTAATGCCAAATTAAAAAATGTATACTTAAAATCTTCTGTCTCCAGCATTCACAGCGTGTGAACCTGATACGTGGTCATTTCAAACATTCATGACGATCACAGCCTTTGTGTCTACACCATCCAGGTCATTGCTTGCTTGAGATTCGTAATCATCTCTTATCAGTAATAACGTTCTATTCTTTGTGATTTCGCGGTGGCAGAGGGGCATAAGCACAGAAAGCAAGGGCTCGACATGTTCCTTAAAAGTACTGCCGTAAAGAGAAAACTATAAACATACACAGTACTTGGCAAAGGCACTTCTTCATAGCAGATGGTGAAAATGGGCCACTCCTTTTTATATATATGTGTGTATGTTTTATGGGCAGTGTTAATGACGAACGTGTTGAAATTTGGATAACAACAACAACCCTGCCAACGACTCACGCGCGTGACCGGCTGTGGGATCAACGTGACCTCCAGAGCGGGCGGCCACGCGCAGCCTCCTCCGTGTGACCTGGGGCTCCATTGCCTGGGCGACGTGTCGCGTGCCCAACAACCACCAGTGGGCGCCCCCTCCGGATTCGTCCTGGCCCCGCTGCGCCGGTCCCCTCTCAAATAACGAGCTGAATCAGCGACCTGGGCAGTAAACCACAAGTCTGCCACGATGGCAGCGGAGCGTGGTGTGCGGTCGGGGACCGCCTGCTCGCCAGAGCCGCCTACTGGCAGCCAGCGGCGCTCGCTGGCCCGCCCGCCTGCACGTCGATGGTAACTCTGGCCCCTGCCGAGTTGACCGACCTGCACCCTACATTGGTTGTCATTATGGTTACATTCAATGGCGTACGCTGCATTTCCCTGGATCTGGAAACGCGGTGAAAGAGCAAACGACACGTGGCTCATTAACAAGTCCCCTCTGGCGTAGGCACAAGCAGAGGCCAGGACGTGTGACGACAAGCAAAGCACGACGCCTACCGAGGTCTGAGTTATGGGCACAATTTTCGCCCGTGAGTTTACTAAATGTCATCATCAACCATGCTCAATTAACATCTGGATGAAGACCTCCCCTGAGCCAATCAAAGCATTCCGGCCTTCACACTAATCTGTGTGTAATTGTATATTTAGGCCATCTCACTAGAGGGGTGCGGAGCGAGCTCAGAGGTGCTCTGTGTGTGGCACATCCCAGGGGAGTTGGTGCTGGTGGACGCGGGCCACACGCGTGAGAGCTCGCGAGAGGCCCTGGCCCCTGCGGCCGCTGGGCGAGGCCGCTACTCGTGCGTGACGCTGCCCCCGTCGCCGCTCTGCTCGCAGCGGTACTTCACTCCCGGCAGGACGCACAGCATCTCGAACAGCAGGTTGGCCGCCAACAGGGCCGTGTTGCCTACGCGCGCACGCAGGAGCCCCCGCGTAGCCGTTAACGCACAGTCGCGGCAGGCGCTGTTCGCGAAGGTCGGCGCGGCCGCACGTTGGGGTGTTTGGCCAATGCCTCGCCTGGCCACCTTGAACTCCCCGTATGCACACACTCCCACAGACTTGCACTGATGGAGCGCTACAGCTGCCCTATGTGAGGCTGCCCCGTGCGCTGCTGCCGCTGCGCGTGGGGGACGTGGGAACTCACCTGTGGTGTCGTAGGGAGGCGACACCTCCACCAGGTCACAGCCCACGAGGTTGAGGCCCCTGCAGCCACGGATGATCTCCAGACCCTGGGGGCGACACGGTGAGCACCCCGCTCTCCTTTAAAAAAAAAATTTCCTTCAATTTTATCTTTATTGTGCTGTCATGTCATCAGACAGATACGTAATTTCGAAATCTGGCAGAGCAGTGCCTTCATGTTCGGGAATGGTCTACAGAAGTGAATTTCAGAGCTACCTGCAAGTCATACAATAGGGGGCAGCACCTTCCCACCCAGCCAGCTAAAAGGGTAAAGTCCAACGCATGAAACTAAGTTGAGGATTCAATTCCAACAGCTGGAATTGGGACAAATAACACGGAAAACCAAATTAAATGTCATCCTTTTTTGTTTGTTCGTACAATCATTGGTGACCTGCCGGAGGCCACCAACTCACTCCACTTGGGGACCTCGTGTGATGCCAGGCGGCCGAATCCTCCATTCGGATCCAGAATCTCAGCAGTGCTCTGACCTATATCTATGTTGGACTTCTTTCGCACCGCACGTAGCCAACCGTGATCATTAGAGGTGTGGGACCTCTGGGCCATTTGGCCGTCTGCGTGCAGGAATGTGATTAACTGACGAATCAGTGCATCGTGACGCACCTGGAGCGCGGTGTTCAGTTCACATTTCAACTCCGTGCTGCCACCGTGAATCTCTGGAGTGTCGCGATTGAGGGTCAAAGAACTTATTCAAGAATTCACTGCTCTGTGTGTCTTGCTTGCACCGTCACGTTGATATCATCTGTGTTACTTTTCTCTGCTCTCACACCGTGTGTCTAAAACCAGTCCAGAGTCTGCTTGTAATAAATCAATGCTGCTGATATTATGCTTTACCAGAAGGCCACGGGGCAGATGGGTTGTGTCAAAAATAAAAATGGTTATATGGAGGAATAGATGTGTGAAAGAAGTGTATTGTCAGCGTATCAAGTTTGTTGAGAGAGTTACTCTTGCGCTAGTTTACTGAGGACAGCCTCACGGAGTCCAATGACTGTTTTCAGGAGGGTCCTGCCAAAGTTTCCCAGTAGAAGGCGGTGATCACTTTGTAGATTCCAAATGAGTAATTTGTGGTTAATTTGAAATTTAGCATATTTGGGCCATGACACTGACGCACAATGACCTACTCTCACACATGGAAACACACACATACACGAGTTGCTAAATAGTAGTAAGCCGATTTCCCCGGCCACCCGTTGCAAATCTCCGTGTGTCTCATGAAGTCACGGAGATATATCGCCGTTTGTGCGACGCTGCACTGGTGCTGCCCTCTCGACTCCTCGTCGGGGTCGTCTGGGGTTCTGATGACTCACGCTGGCTCTGAAGGGGGTGCTCTGGACGTGCAAAGCCGACTGCTGGTTCCGCTCGAATGGCCGGTTGCAAAAATCACGTCTAGGGCAGTTTCCCTCAAGACTGTAATTCAAAGTAGCGCATGTTAAGGGAGGAACCCGAAAAATTTTGTGTAAACACCATTGCAGTTGACATACAACGCCAGGTGCTTGATGTGGAAGCTGCTCCTTGACCGGTCACCCTCTCCACTGGTGGCTCCTTGACTGTCACTTCCCTTCCCTGAGGTTTCGCTACTCGATCCCAAACTAGTCCCGGATCGAATTCGAGATCACACTCACTGTCTTCAAGGTCCTCGCCCCTGCCTACCTCTCACCTCTCACTCTACTCCCCTCCATGCACTCTCCTGCATCTCCCTCTCATCTCACTCACCTCACCTCCTCTCATGCCACTCAACTACCATCCACGCACTATCCTACATCTTCTGCTTATCCCACTCAACTCCCCTCCACACACTCTTCTACGTTGCTCCTCTCATCTCATTCTACTCCCCTTCACGCACACTCTCTGCCCCAGCAACCAAGGCTTTCTGTCAAAGTCCGCAGTCAACCTATGGTCAGTGGGAGGTCGCTCATTATCCATTGCTGCCCCCGGGTCTGGAACTCCCTTCTCCCAGCCGTCCATGCTGTTAGCTCCCTGCACCTGTTCAAGTCGAGGCTTAAGACCTTCATTTTCTCCTCTGCTGCTCTATCTATAAAATAAACATACCCACACTTTCAGGACAGCGCCATACTATGCGCTAGCAATTAGACGCCGCTGCATAAATCGATACTGTACTGCGTCTCTGCTGGCGATTCTCAACCCTGTGGCTCCTGTGGCCGGGCATTCCGTGCCGGGTGATGATAGCCTGAGCGACGCCTCCACATGCTGGCTCCCTCACTGGCGCTTCCCCGGCCGTGCCGGGCGTCTCGATAAGTTGCGCCGTCACCATCCCCCACTCCTCCCGCCCAGCCGTGTCCCGGTGGCCCTGCTGTCGACGGGGCCCACCTGCGAGGGCGTGAGGCCGGCGGTCTCGGGGGTGCCGGTGCCCGGCGCGTACGCCGGGTCGAGCGAGTCGATGTCGTAGGAGAGGTAGACGGGACCTGAGCCCATCTGCTGGGTGACCTCCTTCATGAGTGGAGCGAGCGACTTGAACCAGCACTGCTCGGCCTGCACCACGCGGAAACCCTGCAGCCGGCGTGCACATGGGAACACACGCACACAAACACAGATGCACTAAGATCCCCCATACAGCCTTAATAGACTGTTGGGGCGAGCGCCTATGAAGGCTCGCATGGAACACGCGGGGGTGGGTGGGTGACCGGCACCACGCCCCACCGCCTTTGTCTCCCCAGTGACGATGTTTACACATCGTACCAGGATCGGTTCAAATATTCGTCACTAGTCTTATCCATGAGTGGGAATCAAACTCGGGCGGCTGAGATCGTAGCAGGGCGCGCTAACCGCGACACCACCGCTCCCCGTAAACACATACACAAACACACATATAAACCAGCCTCGCTATCCACAACTTCGAATGCCCTGACACTCCCAGGGCTAGATTTGAGTGAAAACCCATACGTGTTGGGAAGTCATTACTGGTTATTCTATGATTGGACTTTTCCATTCATAAACACGCAGAATTTCCACTGCAGGCTCTGGGCTCTAAATAGAAGTGCAGCACCGCTTCAACGCCCATTCGAGCGGCAACTCACTTGGACTTTTTTAACCAATCACCGGTGCCAGGGCCAAGACCATCAACTCGACGGTTCAATCACGGGGGCGGCCACGAAGCCCGGGACCTCGGTGGTGTTGGCTCAGTTCCCCCAACACGGGCATTATGAATTCCCCAAGCGGCCACCTCAACCGCCTCCCGACCCGACAGTGCTTGCCGCTGCCGCACCTGCTGGCGGCCCCAGTTGTAGTCGTCGGGCGAGTACCCCGACCCGCGCAGGCCGATCTGCACCACGCGCTTACAGTCCAGCAGCCCCTCCTCCACGCAGCGGCGGAACGGCGTCCCGTGCGCTACCTTCTCCCCCAGCATGAGGTCGTTGGTGTCGGCGTGGGCGTCCACGTGGATGAGTCCCACCGGGCCGTACCTGCAGCGCACGCCGCCCCATGACGACCGACACCGCACCGCAACTACCAATACCGTCACATCACTCCCAACATTGTCCCGTGACTACCAACACATCTATGTCACTCTCAACACCGTCCCGCGATGACCAATGCCACATCTCACTCCAACACCGCCACGTGACTACCAACACAACTATGTACTCTCAACACCGCTCTGTGACTACCAACGCCGCACCTCACTCCCAACACCGCCACGTTACTAGAACACTATCACATCAATACCATCTTGAGGTCACCACTCACTCACAGCCAACTGTCCCTAGAGTCTGAGCATCAGGTCAGCACTAGCGAAGACCTCGGTTTTTCATCATCATCAGCAATCCATCTCAGAGCACATGCAAAACAGATTAACAAGTCAACTAACCCATGGGTCTATAAATAAAGAAAACGGCGACACATTGTTATACAAAGAAACACACAAACGCATACCGTGCCGCAACATTAACATTGACAACCCGACTATTTCCTCGTGCAGTGCACATTGGCCATTGTTTCCAGCTGATTTGAAAAAGATTAGTCTCCAGTCTGCTAAGAAAATGACCAAAGCTCGTCAATGCAAATGATATGGCCTGGCTGCCCATGACGTAACTCCTGCGCCGTGCCAGTCGTGCCGGCGTCGGCGCGAGGCACCAGGCCTGGTCGTCTACTTCACCGTGTGCTTTGTTCGGTGAGTATGTATGCACGGACCTGAAGACCCACCGCTACCGAGAGATCTGTGAGCCAAAGTGCAAGCGAAGCCTTACTGCTTAGCGAAGGCCTGCAGGATGGGGTATGTGATGGTGTGGTCGCCCCCTGCATACACGGATGGACAGACGGATGGACGGACGAGGGCACAGATGAAAGTGTCACGCGGCGCACACGGTGCAGACTAAAATTCCAACCGCCGCCATTCACAAGGGAGATGATGCATTCCGCACAACCGCACCCAATTCTCACACAGATTAAACAAAGCATGAGAACAATGCATAGGGATTACCCGCAGGGTGTCCGGTAAAAGTGATTCTGACACCGGTGTTTTACGAGGGGGTCGCTGATAGGTGTGGCGGACAGCAGTTGTGAAATATGCCACATGATCTTCTTGGTTCTTTCGGTAAAGTCACGTAGAAGGGAAGTAATAAAATATTACAAAAAAAACATAATAAAATAATTCTCACGACGTTTCGGCCACAACGCAAGCAGCCGTCCTCAGGTAAAAACCAGGTCTGTCGAGGCGACAGCATCTGAATGAAACAGCACACGAGCTTGGAGCATATATATAAGCTGGGCGCCTTGACAAATGAATTTGCATATCAAGAGGAATTTAGCATATTTATGGGAAATGCAGGAATGTGATTAGTACTACATATGCATGTGCATTATGCAGGATTAACAGCATCAAAGGGAGAGGATATGGGAAATGCAGGTATGTGAATAGTACTAATTCAGCATCAAAGGGAGGGGATAGGGGTAGCATTAATAAAGGGAAGGAGTGTTAATAGTATGTAGCTGCAGTAACTAAAACCAACACGTAAACAACTAAAGTACTGCCAAGAAGGAACATTGTCAGACACGTCACCCATTATACACATTTCATTCGAAGGTCACGCACAGCGGTATTGATGAACGTGTTGCTGTTTCCGTGTTCATTGTACTGCTCTGGATGTGTTTCCATCTTTTCATGTAACATTTCAGAACACAAACGCGCACTACTTCATAAAAGGAATGTGATCGTAGGCGGTGATAATCAAATTGTTGTTTGGCGATGGTGCATTGGCAGTCTCGCAAGATTTGTAAGCATGGAAAAAAACCAGCTTTGAACGGCGGGGACCATACAGCAGAACTATAGGCTTTGAAAAAGGTGTGTACATGGACGCATTGTCAACGCAAACTTGCATGAAGCAGTGCACACCTTGAATGGTTGCAGAAGCTGTGGAGGAACACAGCTATCCAGATCAAGCAGGAAGTGCTCAGATACTTTTATCTTTAGCTCCAGCCTTAGCCAGATTGAGACAAGAGACAAAATCTCGATTCAGATCTCTTGAAGAGCAGTGTAACCCCTCGTCTTTGACATCGGCCCATGGAAGCAGATACCACAGAGCTACGTCTGAGATCCCTTCAAGCCACTTTCGGTCAAAAGAATGAGGGGCAGCAATTAACCACCTGCCTTGCCACGAAGAGCAATGTTTGACGCATTACGATCAATTCTCAGAGCTGGAATTTAGCCAAAGTAAGTGGAAACCAAAATGTTAGGTCACTGTTTTTATCGCAGTGATCGGTGCCCGGACTGAGGCCATCTTGAGAACCCGGTTAAATCACAGACGTCCGCCTGGATTCGAATCCACAATCTCTGACCTGCTAGCCACCCAGCTGCCTCCTGTAACAGGAGATTTTGAGAATTCCTCTCACGGGGAGAGATGTGAGCCTCACCAGACTCCACGAGCCACGAGACCGTCCAATGGCTCATTCCACCACGTCCCTCACCTCACTTCCCTCTGCTCCAGGAGCCAAGGTCAACTCTCAACACCTACTCCTTCTACTCCTCTGATAACGCTCCAATCACTGGGGGGGGGGGGGGGGGGTCTCTGCTCCTCTGCTCAGCCCGCAGTCTGGAACTGTCTCTCTTGGACAGCTGCCCACTGAGGACTACGTCCCCTGCTTAAGTTCAGATTCAAGATTTGCCTCCTCTCCTCCACCCTCAGTGTTATCCCATTGTTCTCTTCATTTGCAGGACTGGGATCTCTCGGCCCCCTGGTAGCCCAGCGGGACTACTAGTTTCAAAGATAAGTGACCCACCCACCCTTGCCACCAGAATTCTGGATCACAGCTAAAATGAGCGTGGTGGTAAGCTAAGTGCTGGTGAGAAGTTGTGTGCTATTGAGATGTGCAGTGTGTTGGTGAGGCCAGGGGTGTGCTGGTGAGGTGCACAGCTCCGTGTTGTTCTGGCAGGGAGCTGTTGTTCTTTTGTCGGTATGGACAGAGGGGCCAGGTGAATGTTGCAACATCCAACATGCGAAATGTGGCTGAGCCGCGCTGTCTGGCTGGGTGTGGTGCTCGACGGAGCAATCATCGTTCCTAGGTTAGCAAGACCGACGTCACCCTGTGAAATACACCTTTTGTTGCTGCTTGTTCACCAAAGCCAGCTAAGCTTGTAAGGAGGCACCGTTGAGACACTACATCTCTTACACAATCTGCGACAACGGCTCAGCGAATGCGGCTCCGTTACATGAAACGTCATTGCTGCAGATTCTGAGGGCAAAGAATTTAGTGCATTGTAGGCTGTGAACAATGAGTTCTGGATACAATTATCGTGCGGTGTAGATTTATAAATTTGTCCCGAGCTGGAGACTCGTGTTAAATTTAACCGGAGATTAGGGTATTCAATGCACGTTACTGTGGTGCGGTGTTCTGTAAATAGATGTCCTAGCTGCCCCTTTCCTACACCACCAGGGACGTGACGAATGAATGAGCCTACTGCGTCTTGTAAAACAACTACGTTTCTATGTCTATACGTTTCTCTCTCTGTGTCTCTGTTTTCTGTCTCCTTGTCTCTTCCCAATTATATTCCTGTTTCTATGTGTCGGTCTCTATGTCTGACTGTCTGTGTCTCCAATTTCGTCTATGTATCTGTCTTCCTAAATGTATCTCTGTGTCTGTCTCTTCGTACTTAATCTGTTTCTGCTTGTGTGTTTCTCCGTGTCTCAGTATTTCTGTCCCAATGTCTTTGTGCACACATATCTCTCCCTCTGTCTCTGTATTGCGTCTCTCTGTCACGAGGATACCCACTTCCCTGTCTGCACCATGCCATGCACAGCTTGGAGACAGCTCTGACTCTACAGCCTCATTCAATATTGCGCCGTGGTGGGGCATAGCGGGGTGCCACTCGCTGACTGTACGCGGGCAGCGCACAGATCGCTACGGATGTTGCCACAACATCCAGGTCGTGTTTCTGCAGTTAATTGCAACTAACGTACGATGTTAAACCTCACACAATGGTGAATATTTTTTTTTATCGCTATGTTTAAATTATTTTTTTTTAAATCTCCTAATTGGGAAAGAAATTCTGAGAAATGTATAAAATAAGACATGTCTCGGACCGTGTTCGTGAACATAAGGCAGATCTGAAACACGGAAGGACCAATACCTCGGTTGTGGCTGATCATTGTTTTAATGCGGTGGGCTCACACAAAATAGATTTCTCTTAGACGAAGGTACTTTGCAAACCCACTGGCTATCAACAAAGATTCATTCATGATGCCATCCATATATACAGACATAGACACAATTTCAACCGAGAAGATGGGTACAAACTTAGCAATCATTGGAAGGACGTTATCAACCAGTTTAAGTCATAACTGATTGTAATGTTCCCACCCTGCCACATTCCAATGTTAGTTGTTATTTTCGGCTCTCCGATTTTACATTAACAGGTAAAATTTCTCACACAGCCACTTTCGCACGCCCACCTAGAGGTGGCGGCGGCTCTGCGATCTCCCATTAACATGCTAATCTCTCACATGAATACGCTAATCTCTCACATTAACATGCTAATCTCTCACATTAACATTCTAATCTCTCACATTAACACGCTAATCTCTCACATTAACACGCTAATCTCTCACATTAACATGCTAATCTCTCACATTAACACGCTAATCTCTCACATGAACATTCTAATCTCTCACATTAACATGGTAATCTCTACCATTAACATAGCCACCTCAGCGCGCTCGCCGTGGAGGCCGCTCAAAGATCTTACATTTACATGCTCGTTTTTTACCCGGCAGCCCTTTAATTGGTGGAAACCCACCACGAGCGCCGCCAACGACCCTAACTCACATTAACATCAACTGCCCCGCCCACCACTTACATTAACATCAGCTGCCCCGCCCATGCTGCTGACACTTGGGCTACGCCCATTTTAAACCTTCATAAACAGTTTGCCTTTCGAGGCAAACCCCCTTTTCCTGATGATGACCGCTTGTGTTGCGATCAAAACGTCGTAGTTTTTTGTTATTTTCTTTGAACCTATCTACGTGACTTTACAGAAAGACCCAAAGAATATGTTAAAAGGAATTTTCATTCAAAGTGGCCCGGTGGCTAATACTGCGTTCGGGCACGGAGCCAGCCCCAGATGGTCCGAGTCCAATTACCAGTAGCCACACAAAAAATACTGTCCCATTAGGTTTGGTTTAAACATTTCCTTCAGTATGGCATTTTAAAGCAACGGACACCTTGTTAACTGCTGGCACAGGCAAAGATTTCAAACAGTCGATTCAAGGATATAATGTGTAGAAAAGTAGAAAGAAAAGGGAAAGGGAAGAGATGGCGGGATAGAAGTCCCCAAGATAGACAAAAAGGAGGGTATGGTTCAATATGAGCAGCAGGAATACATACGCAGTGCCTAGTAGGATGGGGGGAAAGGAATGACCTGGCTAAGATGTTGGGTATGAGAGGGTGAAGCTGATGAGATGAGAGGAGAGGGAAAAACAAAGAGAGAAGGGGAGTGCAGAAGGGGGTTCGCGACGGAGGAGCAGCATCTGTTTTCACAACAGACGAGAGAGGATCAGAGTGGCAGTGGCCACATAAAAGTTACGTAATTTACGGGAGGCTTTGGCGGATTTAGATGTAGAGATATTTGTTTGAGTTAGCTTATTTTGGAGCTGGATCAATAGGACAATGGCTTTTTGAGGACTTTATTTGATCATTGTAAATAGCCCGAGATGCTCTGCTTGAAGAGTGTGATGTAAAAGCAAACGGCGCCTTGTTGAACATCTCTACTCGCACACAGCCCGGCTGTCTTAGTGACGTTAAGGCCATGTAAATACGACCACGGGTGCCAATGAGTGCAAAGCATCAGCGTATTCTATGTTGAATTGTGAGCTCAGTTAATTTTGAGTGCACATTCTAACCACGTCCCATGTGCCCAGAGCCTGACTGCGGGGCTTACGACAACACTGATGAAAAATATACGTATTTATATTTAAAACATAGAAAATCGGTGTGCAAATATGCACTCGCGACTGTGATATTTCACCTTGCTCTAAGTAAAGAGTAAAAATCACGAAACGACTGCTTGATAGAGCTTACAACGAACACATTTTCCACTGTGGATTACGATCTCTGCTGGCCTCACTTGACATGGTGCCTTGTAATAATTCCATGTGGCGCATGCCCTCTTGGTACATGTGATGCCAAACCCATAGCACCGCTTGCCAAATTCCATACTGACGCACTGGATTCCCTGCCCATCAGTGTGACGGCTGGGGAGATGCTATCACGACAAACACAAACGGCAACTACCCAGGTGGCTAGGAGCCCATCAGCTGGGGAACGTGCCACATGAGAAGCCCAGTCCAATGGAGCGAGGTGGGGTGAGAGGGGCGAGGGATGGCAACCTATGGGTTATCCCTGGAACCCACCCACATCATGATTTAACACCCGACGTTACCCTGTAGTCCAGCGCGAGCGAGAGGGTTGGTACCAGCCACTGGTACTAAACCAGTGGTACCACTGATGAGTGACACTGTGATTCACTCCTAACCCACACGGAACTAGGCAATCTTCCATTGATACCTGCTCTTCCAATTATCCTTACCCTAACCATCCAGCCTTGAGTACTAGACAATTGGTACCAGCCTTGGTTGTGGGGTACCCTTTTATAAACCACAATGAAACCAAAGTTATAATGGGAGTTTACATTCGCTGCAGTCACCCTCTGCTACATCCCACACAGTGCAAAGGTTGTACGGCATTGAATAGCCGGTGAGCAAACTGAGGCTAGTACGGGTGAGCAAGCCGAGGCTCCCAGCCTGCTGGTTGGGGAAGGTATTTACAGAAAGTGAGTTTCTGACCTCCCTATGTGGACTCTCTCTGGTATCATGGTGACCTGCTACATGTTAATTACCGATTAAGGTAACCTGGGCATAACTTTCGAATCATTCTCTGGGCAGGTGAGATGGTAAGGAGGGTGGTGCAAGGGAGGGGCTAACCAAGGGTGAGGGGCCGGCAGCCCCCGGAGATGATGGTGGAGTAGGCGTCCCTGATGAGCTGCACGTTCTTCTGTTGGTTGTACAGGTTGATGTAGATGTCCCCGATGTCGGCTACGGCCAGCGACTCGAAGGGCGCGGCGTGCGTGTAGTTGTTGTACGGACGGATCATCACCGACTCACTCCGGATTTGACGCGGCCCAAACCTGGTGGGACGATGACAAAATACGCGAACGTCCCCCCCCCCCCCCCGCCGTTAGGTCACCCACGTGAAAAAAACATCATTAATTACTTGACATCGTGCCACAAGAATAAACTGAGGTAACGACACAATGAAGAGGTGCAGTTGAGTAGAGCAGCGTCAGCAGCACACACGGACCCTCCCGCTCACACCATCCCATCGCACACGACGAGGTGAATCGTGAACAAGGCGACAAGGAGCGACCTCAGAGGTCTGCTGGGTTTGCTGTCTACCGCGTTACCGCGAGCAGGCTGGTCACAACGCAAGAGCAAAATATCGCGCATAAAATGAAGCTTCTCCACTGGGACTCTCTCGTCTGTGAATCAGTTTACAGACATTCTCCCCCCAAGCCCTCAGCATTCGACCTGACAGCCACTGGGACTCTGGATGTTTCTGTACGACACAAAGTGCCAGAGTCGCTATTCTTGGTGATGGAGACTTTTGCACATTTTCACTAAAAAGTGACAAAAGTCTCCATTTCATGAAGACGAGAATCTGGCCTTACACAGGCAGTTTTTGTAAGATTTACATTTGCAGTATTATTTAAAATTCTACAGGGGCTCTCTGTGACAGCCCTTCCACCAGCAGTAGCATGAGCAAGTAATTGTAGGGCTGCACTTTTACCTGTAAAAAAAAAATCGAATTAAGTACTTTTAGTTGCAACGACAATTTTTACAACTTTTTTTTACTTGTTGAATAATCTTTATATCTTTGCCAATCTACTGCTGGATTAAAGGTCTTCCTACACCGTATCAGTTAAGGGGGTTTATTTGGCCATTCTTTACACGGTGATCAATGCCAGTTTATGAAAGGGGGGAGGGGGCCCAGGGCCGGTGCAGATTTCACTTGCCGCTCGCTCAAGTGAGCTTTGGTCAGCAATCAAATGCAGGTCGCCGGGTTCATAGAGCAGTACGCTCAAAAGTAGGCTTTTATGCTGCTATTCACGTTTTGTTGCCATCCCACAGTTGGAGTTTACACGTTTGACTGATCATTGATAGAAACACGACTTGCAAACATTGTCCTCGCTTGTATGCAGAAGGTGAAATGCAGCCTTTGTGATGCAGCCAACATCTCCAACTGCCATTCACTGCAAAAGACCTTTGGCCCAAGCTCCCTGTCAATTAAGATTGTCAACATTCTTTCATCAAAGCTCACATGCGTGCAGTGAGCTATATCTAAGCGGTGTATGGGTCATTTGCAGCCTTCAGTTAGAAACAGAACCTGAAACATACAACAAATACGAGATCAATCTTCGGCATGAGTCTTGACACCTAGGCTTGTGCACTTGAAGAGTAGTTTTGCTTGAGATTACATTAGGACACACACGGACACGCTTGGCAAACACAATGTTAACAATCAGTCTATTTTCTTGGTTCTTTCGGTAAAGTCACGTAGAAGGAAAATAATAAAATAATAAAAATAACATTTCGATTTAAAGCTTTCGTGACTGCAGGGATTCATCTTCTTGGTTCTTTCGGTAAAGTCACGTAGAAGGGAAGTAATAAAATAATAAAAATAAAACATAATAAAATCAAATAATTCTCACGACGTTTCGGCTACAACGCAAGCAGCCGTCTTCAGGTGGAGAACAGGTCTGTCGAGAAGGCAGAGTCTCAATGGCACGCCTCAGGCTTGGAGCGACTATTTATGCTGGGATGGAGGGGCGAAGAGCGTCTTGACAAAATAATTTGCATATCAAGAGTAATTTAGCATATTTATGGGAAATGCAGATATGCGATTAGTACTACTTGTGAAATGCGTAGGAGGTTTGGCGAGGGGTTTAAAGTCATTGTGCCCATGCATTATGCAGGATTAGCAGTATCAAAGGGAGGGAGTAAGGTTAGAATTAATAAAGGGAAGGAATGTTAATAATATGGCGCCGCAGCAACTAATATGCTTATAGACTATACATTGTAATATTACACTATGTATTATTCTACCCAACCAACTGTATACCACACTGCTATATATTCACTATAAAATTACGATACTATATATTATCTTATACATTGTATTAAACATTACACTTTAATACTATTAATTATTATACAATATGCTATACACTATACATTGACCGTCGCGTGAAAGTACTAAGAGGAAGCAACGAAATATGTCAATGGGAGAGTGGTGGTAGGAAGCTTGCAGCGGAGCAAATAATCCATTCCCTGTGGAGTACATATCAAGAGGAATTTAGCATATTTATAGGAAATGCAGATATGCGATTAGTACTACTTGTGAAATGCGTAGGAGCTTCCTTAGTACTTTCACGCAACGGTCAATGGTATAGTGTATAGCATATTGTATAATAATAAATAGTATTAAAGTGTAATGTTCTCCACCTGAATACGGCTGCTTGCGTTGTGGCCGAAACGTCGTGAGAATTATTTTATTGTTTTATTTTTATTATTTTATTAATTTCCTTCTACGTGACTTTATCGAAAGAACCAAGAAGATGAATCCCTACAGTCACGAAAGCTTTAAATCGAAATCAGTCTATTAAAAATCCCTGCATCTTGCATAGCGGTGGAACAAGCGACCTTGTCAGTAGCAGACCAACGAGTGCCCCATAGAAAATTAGCATGCGAGGATTCATAAGCATAACTTGCTAAAGCCCTTTAGAACGCTGTGGATTACTGGCATCTGCATTATCAGTGCAGGACTGTGTAAAATCAGCAAACGTGGCCTATAACTGAAACCGACACAAAGATTTCTCATGCCACCATGGAGATTCGTGGCTTTGGGGGAGAGCCCCCGCAGGTTATTGTCAACTGCACAGTGGCAGCGCGTTCACTGCTTAATGCAGAGAATCACGGTTCGAACCCAGCGGCTGCCCAGATTAATACTGCGGGCACATTTACCGTAAAAAAACACGGCGTGCCGTCTGTTTCACAGCGAACGTTATTCGCAAGAATAGACCATTGTGTGCCAGTGTCATAGTCCTAATTAGTTCAATTACCCGCAGTGGAATGGCTAAACAGTAATCACATGGCTCTAACGCACCTCTTTATTGGATCATTGTGATCGTAGTCCTTCACAAATTACCCACGATGTACATCATTCTGGTGTGTAACGTTTCAACTGTCTCTCAAAAATGTTTTTCAATTCGTAGACATACATGCGGCTTTTATTAGTTACTATCCTCTTTGTTAAAGCCTTCAATCATTTCCCGTGGTTAATTTAAACCGATCGTGTTAACAGGAATGTCATCAGCCTGCACTCAGAATTTGCATGGGAGGGCCTCGGTGGAAAACACTTTAAAAACTCCACCCCAAAATTATTTGGAAAAAAAAATCGTAAAACCTGTCAAGCAACTGTAGCGATTACGACGTCTCTGTGGCAAAGGCGCTTCTGACTCTCAAGAAGGTCCTCAAATCATAGCGTGCCAAGCTAATGTCGTAACCGCCGGTGGATTCTTACCTGGCATGTATCAATATTCATGACACACAGACGGCTATGGACCAGACCGCCCGGAAAGGGCGCATTCTCGCAAGGCCTGGAGCTGTAAACAGGGGCCGCAACACAGCACATACCGTGCGTGTGTGTGAGGCGTGTGAGCTGTGTGTGTGTGTGAGGCGTGTGTGTGAGGCGTGTGAGCTGTGTGTGTGTGTGAGGCGTGTATGTGTGTGAGGTGTGTGTGTGAGAGATGTGTGTGTGTGAGGTGTGTGTGAGGTGTGTGTGTGTGAGGTGTGTGTGTGAGGTGTGTGTGTGAGAGGTGTGTGTGTGAGAGATGTGTGTGTGTGAGGTGTGTGTGTGTACGTGTGAGCTGTGTGTACGTGTGTGTGTACGTGTGTGTGTACGTGTGAGCTGTGTGTACGTGTGAGCTGTGTGTACGTGTGAGCTGTGTGTACGTGTGAGCTGTGTGTGTGTACGTGTGAGCTGTGTGTGAGGCGTGTGAGCTGTGTGTGTACGTGTGAGCTGTGTGTACGTGTGAGGTGTGTGTGTGTGTACGTGTGAGCTGTGTGTGTGTGAGGCTACACGTGTGAGCTGTGTGTGTGTGTACGTGTGAGCTGTGTGTGTGTGAGGCGTGTGTGTGTGTACGTGTGAGCTACGCACGGCGAGCAAGAATTGCGAGAGACCTCGACTGAGTGACGACGGCCTGAACCTGACTTGCCCCCAGTGCCCGCACGGCAACACCGACACCGGCACCGCGGAGACGAAGGCGGCTGAGCGCACCACCCGCCCGCCCCCCTTGGCGGCGTGCCGCCTTCACCCCCCTTGCAATCTACGCGGATTCTAGATTCGAAGCTTTCGTGACTGCAAGGATTCATACTCTTAGGGTTTTTCGGTAAAGTCACGTAGGTAAAAATAAATAAAAATAATAGAAATAATATGAATAAAATTCTTATTAATAAAAGTATTATTTCTATTTTATTTTATAATTCGACCTACGTGACTTTACCGAAAAACCTAAGAGTACAATCTACACGGGGGTCACGGCGGGGGGTCACAGTGGGGGGTCACGGCGGGGGGTCACGGGGGGGGGGTCACGGCGGTGTGGGGGTCACGGGGTGAGGCCGCCACCTGGCCCCGGGCCGGTTGGAGGTGCCCGTGTCGACGGGCGTCCCCACGAAGCAGGCGTCGAGGCCCGCGCTGCCCTCCCCCCGCACGGGCAGCCGCATCATGGAGGCCACCCCGGCGCAGCGCGCCAGCTCGTTGCCGCTCGGCGGGGCGGACAGGCGCCGCTGGGGAGTGGGGGAGGCCCCCGACGAGTGCAGGGCCCGGCGGGCAGCCGCCCCCGGGGCTCGCGGGGACAGGGCCCGGCCCAGCGGGCCCAGCAGGCGGGAGCCGGGAGCGACCCGCGGGCCCCCCCCAAGCAACAACAACAACGACGACGACATGGGGGCTGCTGCTGCTGCTGCGGCGGCTGCGGCGGCGGACTTCACTCCTCCTCGCTGCGTGTGCGCGGACGCGCGGAGGGAGGGGGGTGGTGGTGCGTGTGGTTGTTGACTTGGTGTTGTGGTTGTTGACTTGGTGTTGTGGTTGTTGTGTGACACGGTTGAGTGGCTGTTGGGTTGTGTGGTTGTGTGTGGTGGTTGTTGTGTCGCAGTGGATGTGGTTGTCAAGTTGTTGATCGGCTGTGGCCGTGGTGGTGCGGCGGTTATAGGGCTGTGATTGGGAGGGTGCTGAGTGGGCAGTGCGCGCTCTTGACCGGCTCCGGTTTAACAGCAGAGGTCTCACTCCGAATCAGTCGAGCGGCAATATATTTGCATCGGTTGCGTAACGCTGTTGTGTGGAAGCTACCTGGTCTGTCACTCCGCACGAAGCTTCAAGTCTTTTCTCTACGCTTGCGAAACGTGGACCCCCCTAATGGAACATCTTCGCAGCTTAGAAACATTTAGGCTGGCCTGCCTACAATCCATCCTGGGTTTAACCAGGCGGGATTGTGTGAGGAGCTCACAAATCCTTGAAAGTCCTATCGGTGAGCTCCTCCGGCAGGCAAGGTTGCGTTGGCTGGGTCACGTAGCCCGCATGCCCAGCCACCGCATGCCTAAACAGCTTTTGTTTGGTCGGATCGAGGGAGCTAAACGGGCGCGGCACGGGCTAGAGAAGAGATGGAGTGATGTGGTATAGGAGGACGTGGAGCTGAGTGGACTTGCCAATGACCAGTACCAGCGGTGTCAAGATCGGCCTCTGTGGAGGAGGCTCGTGAAGGACGCTACTGGGCAGTTGGAGGCAGTCGCCCTCCAACAGCACCGGAGGGTGGAGGAGCGACGCTCACAACAACGAGCGGAGCGCCGGGTGGCTAAAGCACAGCAAGTTGGCACAGCAAGTTGGCACAGTAGGGGGCACAGGTGGTGCATCAGCCAATCATTTAATTCATCTCAGTCGACCCGTGGCACCTGGGTCTGCCCCGTGACCTCCTGCCAGCAGGCATTCGACACTTCACGTAGCCTCAAGGTGCACATGGCCTGGCACAATCGTCATGGTGATGTCACCGCCACTTAGTGGCGAATGGCGGTTGTTGTTGAGTGGTCGCGGTGAAGTCGGTGTGGGTGTTGTGAATGAGCCTACATGTCCCTGGTTGATGGAGTCTTACTGTCGGGGGCTCTATGAGCTCCACTCGTTTTAAATATGACCAGAGTGATGGGACAGCAAGGGGCTGAGCTCCCAAGCCACCTGATCACATCACTTATAAACCCGGCGATGCTGATGAGAATACCGACGGTGGCAAATAAGTGATGACTGCGAGCATCGATGCCAGGTTGACCCAGAAAGGGAAGGTCGCTGGACGAAGATTCCACCTCTTCTGGGTTTGTGACCCGCACAGTTCAGGTGCCAGGAATTGACTTGCACTGAGATCTGGTGCCCGCGTTACTGTGTTGAATCTTATTGCAGGATACTGCACATCACTGATAGACCTAGGCTCTGACTGAGACTTATACCCGGATTTGGTCTTTGGGAAAGGTGACGACTAGCTTACCAGGTGCTGCTCTCAGCCAAGGTTATGGTTAGAACTAACTTCGTGGCTGGAGCTACCCGTGTTATAAATGAGAGAATGTCTTTTATTTATCCTGAAAAGCGTCGGCAAGGCCCAAGACTCTTTCCCAGGAGAGGGTCTGCATCAGACTATTCTGCCAGTTTATTGTTGTGTTGTTCGCATGTGGGAGCACATTGCAGGACCATAAGAAAAGTCATGCACATCCGAGTAAACGTGCAATGTTCGTGCGTGATTTGACTTGTGGTATGTATGTTGAACTACTTGTTCGCACCGTACGTAGCCAACCGTGTGAATCGGTGGTGCAGGGCGGAAAAACAAGTAAAACACAAAAGCAGTTTTAAAGCAATGAGTTAAATAGGCAGAAATTAGTGTAACATTGTGGTCGATGTTAACTGGGATATAAGAATGATATATATTATCCTTGCAGATATGTCATCGACAATTTGAGAGCTACGCACTAGTGGCCACTTTGTCTTGGAGGAAAAAAAACTTCATCCGACAGGATATCTGTGGGCATGGTGTTTCAGACAAAGCCGGCAACACACTGAGTACCTGAGTTTTTATCCCAGTTCTTATGTACATGATCTCGAAACCCTGCACTAAAAGCGCTGGATTGCAGGCAGCAACTACTCCATGCGCCACTGTGTTCCACTAAAGGGTATTCTTTGAGGGATGCTCTGAGGTGAGTAGGAGACGTGTGAGGAGTGGTGTGGGATGGGTGGTGGTGAGTGGTGGTGGTCCTGGGCTGGTCGGTGCTGGTAAATATGGAGACACCGATTCCATCTCCCACATCGATCGAGTATCAATACGTTTTACAATCAACTCTCGATGGCCCGGGGTGGATTATAATTATCCGTGTAGCAGACTAACCGTGCTTGCCAAAATATAAATATATATATTTTTACCGTGTGGGCTCTTTTTAATCTTAGCTGCTCCTCACTTGTCGAGGGGCCCGTGACCACGAACGTTTTGGCAAGTGAACCTATTACTTAAAATATATATATTCTACATCTACACCCCCTATATAGGAATGCAAACAATACATGATTGTCAAAGGGACATTTACATATATTATGCATATGTCTTGCATGAGGGTATATCAGTATTGGTTTCATCTGGGTCACCCCCCCCCCTATACCCATTACCCTGTACAGCCGACTGTACCTCCACACATGGACTGGGTCTCACGTAACATCCGGGCCAGGTGACTGCTCATCAGTAGGTTGAGCGAGCAGCCCACAATCTCAAGTGTCCCAGTTCAAATCCTGTCTGGAGGGGTTGACTCGGCTTATTCCTCCAGGATTAGCACGGTTGGCTACGTACGGTGCAAAAGAAGTTCAACGTACATACAACATAGGTACCACTTTGTGGGGACGTCAACAGTTTTATGGACAGACTCGCCCCAGCTACAGGAATGGGGAATTTCCATCACTGGCTAAGGGCGGTAAACAGGAGCTGAGCACCGCACCTCATTGCTCGTGTGAGCAGACACTCGCTTCGACTTGCTGGGGAGGAGCACACCCACACTTCGTACAACACCACGTTATTATTTGTAACAGCGACGATTTTGTACGTGTGTTAATGTCCACTTGATCATGGCCATGGAAGAGTAACGAATGTCCTATGTATTTAATGGGCATCTTGAGATGCTGATGCATTGCATGCATTCCACATTGTAATCGTGGTGAATTTTGTAATAATATGAAACTAGCGGCATTTTCCTCGTGGTGATATAAAGTATTGAAACATAAAAAGGAAGGCGAAGAGAGGAGAGAAAGAATGGGGGAATAAGAGGAAGAGGGTGCAAACAATGAGAGAACGAGAGCGAGCGAAGGGTCGGGAGGAAGAGGCTGCATCAGGGCTTCGATGCTGCTGCACGGATCGGAGTCTGGTTTCACATCGGGCGGCGGGGAAGGGGAGGGGTTCAGCGTGGGGGTGGCCACACAGAAGCCACGTGATGTACTGGCGGCTTGAGCTCATGTGGGTCGATGTGCAGTATTGGTTGAAATCCTGTCTAACAACTGCTTCTAACATGACCCACGCGTCCATGGACTCGCTTGTTTGGTCGGTTGGTCACCTTTGTTTTACCACAATATAAAGAGCGACTGTGTGGAATAAGATAAATAAGCAGACTAGTCATGGCTTCACACATACTGTATGTGCCTCCACGTAAAAAGGCATTTTTTGCAGATATCAGCCCCACGGCCTTCTGGGAGTGAAATTTAGTTATGAAACATTTTCACCTGGAACTGTTTTTATTCGGTCTAACACCAGTAAACTGTGGACTGGTTTCGACATTCGCTGTCTCATTCATTGACCGTGTTATCTTACCGCGTGAGAACCCATTGACGTAGAAAACAGGATCGTGTTACTCCTGCCTTTGGCAGTGGTGTACAAGTATAATCAATGACAACACCTCAACGCGTTCGTCAATAACATGACGAGGAGAACAAACTCGGGCGACGTTTTGGGCAATGGCAATTCTTCATGGCAGAGATAATAATACTGTACATGGCAAGACAACTGCGTGGTAGCAACAGCGGCAGATCTAGAAGCTTCCCAAGGTAGGGCTGGGGGCGGTGCTGCAGCGGCAACTTGACGACGCTAAACCAACACCGCCTGCCGCCCTCGGTGACACCTGTCCTGTGGCAGCGGGGGGGAGGGGGGGCGTGAGGGACACGAGAGCACTTGGGGGGCAGCTCACCAGGAGGGTGACACGGGAACAAGCACCTCCCATGAGCACGGTTGGCTACGTACGATGCTAAAGAAGTTCAACATTGTCCACGCATGCATTGCATCTCTCACGAACGCTTGTTTATCTGCCCCCCTTGCCCCCCCCCCCACCCAAACTCCGCCCATGCTCGCCTCCAGTGCTGGATTACAGGCCATGTGCACCACCACCGCCCCGTACAATTGCCGCAAGATATTTTTCCTATAATAAAGTCTTCAAGAAAACCCTTGAACGTTGACATATAAGTCAATTGTGTATTAGCGTCAAAGTCTAAATGTGAAAATTACACTGCAAATTACTCAATTGAAATAAAAATAGCAAACATCGCTCTCTACTGTGAAAACTTGCCAGGACCCTCCTGAAACCCGCCTCCCCCATGAGATTGGGGGTAAACGCGCGTATATAGAATAAGAATCGTACAAAATGTTCTAAATGTAATGGCACATTACGGAACAGAATTCGGAGGCTTGTGGGTGCCGCCTATAAACCGGTCGTGTCCACAGCGCGTCACCGGGGATCGCGAACAGAGCACAGGGCACACGGCGGCATCCTGGCGAGGCCACGTTTCAATTCCAGGTGCTGTCGGCCTGGGGGGCAGGTCGCAGTGCAGACATGAATTCCTAAATGTGCAAAGAGCTTTGAGTGTCAGCCACCTCGTATGCACGTCTCTTATTTGGGGTTCTCCAGTTCCCTCCCATACAAAACGAAACACTGAATGGGGTTGACCAAACATCCCAGGCTGCCAGCGGTGGCGAGGCACGTGGCCTGTAACCCAGCACTGTGGAGGTGACGGGGGTTGGTGGGTCACCCAAACGGTGTGAAACTTACGCGCGTCAATGAGGTGCTATACTCTGGCTCGCCAGGATAAGGTGGTACAGCAAAGGGCGGACTGACATTGTGTGTATGGGACAGAGTTGTCTTCTCGCACGCGTGGGGTTTCTCAGGTTGCTCTGGTTTCATCCCACGTGCATAAACGTTCAGTAATTGGCTGCAAACATCGTCATCTGTATGCGCCGCACGCGTGTTGCGGATTGCGTAACGCCGCGCGAATGTGGCAAGATCGCTCCGTACCAACCACTCGGAACGTAACAATGCATCGATTCATCTCGATTCTCTGGGCCCTATGTTTGTATACAAGTCCAAGTCGTGCGATTCATATGTGTTTTATGTAATCTGTTCACGCCGGAGGCTGGTACATTCACCACGATGTTACATAAATACAATAGAACGTTCAATTGAATATATTTCGACCCTGAATCGCGACAAGTCAACGCGTTGTCGGGGAGTGCGGGTATGCATCGTTCCTGCCCAACCACTCATCCCCTCAGTCTTTGTTCCGTTCACTCGGGATCAGCGGCGTCCTGCTGCCTGAGACCGACGCTCGCCACGTGCTCATTGATCTGGTGTCTCCGTCTCTCATCGTTGCTCTTCCTCTCGGTCTCTTGCCCTGCACGTCCATCTGCACGTCCGTCCCCACATTCTCGGGATCTGTCCTCACCATGGGGATGCGTCCTGGCCACCTCATCCGTAATTCTCTCATCTCGTCGTCCATCGCTGCCACCTTCATCGTGTATCTAATCGTCTCCTTTCTAGTTCTCTCTACGCTCTTGTTTTCCCAAAGGACCACCTTGATCCTAACCCGCTGCCACTGTGTACAACATCTGTTCCTCGCTTCTTCACCATGCCCAGCATTCAGACCTCATACACAATGAGAATGGTCCCCTCTGCCTCGGTGCTGTATCCAATGTCTGGCAACCGACTCTGGCTGTTCACCAGAGGACGGTCTAGAAACTTCCCAGGAGGAGGAGGGAGCCATCCATACATTTCAATTATGCACCGTAGAGAGTTTGCTTGCTTTTTAACATTCCTCTTCCGGTTCGCTGAAAAACTAAACTCAGATGGCACATTTACCCACGTGACAGCTCGATTTGATTGGCTCTGTCAGGTCGTGGAGAACGATTCTCACTTGCAAGAGTGACCTGGGTCACAGAAACGACAAACGCAATACCACAAAGTACAACAATAAAGCAAATAGAAATCAGTTCAAAGACAACCAAATAGAAATGAGACCAAGACCAAACAAATATTAATATTTGTTCAAAGGCCCGGTCACAACAAAGGACACAAAGAACTACCAATGATGCCAAGGTACACACAGACTGCGCTCTCCAGCTACATAGAACAGGCTGTGCAAACAGGGGCTGGGGGACAGCACCACGCACGCTGCAGTTGGCGACACCGACCGCTCACTCCACCGACCTCGTGATGCGGGCACCTCCGCAAGGGCGCGCGGCTCGCGCGGCTCGCCCGGCTCGCGACTCCGCTGGCTCCGTGAGCCTCGCCTCGCCGGCCCCACGGTGTGGGGGGACCCATGGCAACGTCGGAATCAATACAGCAACTTCACACGACGCGGTAGGCAGTTAGTTACAGGTCTTGTGTTGGGTCCGAGTGTCTGTATGAGTGTATGTAAATCTACGGGAGTCTACACAATACAATGTTGATTTTCATAGCGTGAATGTGGACGTGTGTTCCTTATTATATTACAAGGACCGTATCCTCGCGACGCCGTAGAGAAACGCTGGTTATGTTTATTTTATGCAGAGGCAGTTATAGGTCTCTTTGTGAGCGTGTGAGTCGATGGAAGCCTTAAAGTCTACACAATACAATGTTGATGTTCATAGGGTGAATGTGGACCTGTGTTCCGTATATCAATACGACCGTATCTTTACGATGCCGTAAATGCACGCTGGGCATGTTTATTCTAGAGAGAGAGAGGGGTGGTCACAGGTGACGATGAGAATGCTGTCTCTTCGCAACTTTAGCACAATCACGTCGACGTTCAAGCTGCATTGACTCACAGACGAACCCCTGAAAACCCACATTCCAGTGTCTACCCCACGGGGATCGATGTGGAGAGCTCCAACCGCCTCCCCGTCACACGTCATGGGACAGACGTATCCATGGAATGATTCACCTGTCCGGCAATTAGTGAATCCTCACGTTCCAGGGCTGTGCTTTAATCCAAGACTTAAACTAACTGTTTGGTGAAGCTTGCTGCTGTGTTGGCAGAGGTGCACAATCACAGTTAACGACAATGCAACCTCAACGCGTACCACCACCAATGTGGTGATGGTGATGTTGTAGTAAACTGACTGATATAATCGGCGACGTTTCGGACAATGTCCCTGCTTCCAAACACAACCATTATTTGATATGAATGTATGCCCTATGAAGAAGTGCCACTGCCCGAAACGTCGCCTGTCTTATACATCACTTGTATTTTAAGGCCATGGTGTTATTGGCGAAGGCGTTGCGTTTTGTTGTTCATTCTGTATTCAACAGTGGAGGATGTCGTCTCTTGTCGGTCGGCATCGTCTCGTCTGCGTTTGTCTCTCGTCGTCGACGCGTGTCGAGTACGGCTCAGGCCGTCGTGCATTCGCTCTGCCGTCCGTCTGCGGCGGAAGAAGAATCTAGAAAGAAGACGACGTCCCGATGATGACTCTGCTGAAGGTCACCCGATGTAAAGACGAGCGGATTGTAAAGCCGCGTTGCTATGCGGGACATCTCCTAGTTAAAGCTGGCCAGTGTGACCACGGGGCAAGCGCAGGCTTTGGCACGAGGAGGACGGTCCTTGTTCTGGTTGGCCACCCTTGATTTACTGAAGCGGTTGTTGTTACGATACTTTGAAGATATAAAAGCCTTTTCGGTCAAGGGAACGTAGATCTTTGTTAGAAGCAAACTGGCTAACACAAATGATAGTGGCTTATCACGTGGACATGTAGAGTGGCAGCCACAGTCTGTGAATGCGTGTTTCTAAACGTGGAGAGGAAAACCGGAGGAGCCGGAGAAAAATCCACGCGCCCGCGGGGAGAAAGAGAGACACGCAAACTCCAAATATACAGCAGCAGGCGTCAGAGGCGGGCTCGAAGCCACGACCTCATGCATACCAGGCGAGGGGGTTAACATCTCGCCACCGTGGCGATGATGAAGATGATGGTGGGAGGGAATTCCACAGTGTAGTGCGAGGGAAGGAAGAAGTTTTGTGACCTGCAGTGTGGTTGGTGATTGAGTGAGTGATTCAGTAAGTGTTGTTGTGAGTAGCGATAGAAGGGTGACAGGGAAGCGATTCACCACCGGTGCGTGCGGGCTGCTGGAAAGATGCTAATCTGGGAGGCTCGCATGTTTAAGAATAAACAACGCACTGCTGTATATTTAGTGAGGAGAGACAGACTTTTTATTATTATTTTTCGCACCTTGAGGTATTCGTACCGTGCTTGCGTGCGATAACTGATCAGTATCGAGCATACGCCAGCTAATTTCGCAAATGTCTCAGATTTAGTCGTGATAACGTCCCAGATAAACGGAGCTATAAATAGACCCGCATCGCGGCACGTCAGCAGCCCCCGATTCGCACGAAGCTGTCCACGAGCTTCGCCACACAGACGGATGCCTGCGCGAGTATCATAGCAAGAGGCTGGCCCTGCGATGTTGAGAGTGATCACCATCGCCTCTACGGCACAGCAGAGAATCCACATCACCTTGTCCTCCTCCCTCTCCCCTCCACCTCCTCCTCTACTGCAGTCTCACTCGCTGCAGCAGCCAGCAGCAGCAGCGGCGGTGGCCAGCTCGTCTCCCCAAATCAAGCCTCGCGACTCAGCATGGCAGATCCCCGGCCACACGCGCATCATCCTGCGGGGCAAAGGCTTCTTCCCCCCTGGCGTGAGATGTCAAGTCTTCAATGTCAACCGCGTGGCAACCAGCGTCACATTTTGGAAATTCCCCGCGCTGTCACTGCTTTATTACTCACAAGCGAACACCTCGTGAAAGACCCACATCAGCGGATCTCTGGGTTCGACCTTTTACAAAGATCATGGCCCACCCTAAACCGCATTCTGCACAAACCGTGGCGGAAATAGATGCCTGATGCAAAACTCTCCAGTTTGCGACTGTGGGTCATCCAGAACAGACCGTACAACATTTAACGATGCGATGACCGATCCACAAATACAAAGGAGACATCTCCGCAGCGATACACTCCGTTGCTGCTCCTGACGCGGTTATCTGGCTTGACCACCTGAATGTGAAGTTGTAGTTGTTGCATCGACATCATATGAAAGAAGATTGCTCAACTCGTCGAGCGCATGTGCTTCTACTGGGTTGGTGAAGGTGGCGGTGCCCAGGGACCAGTGAAGACATCACGACGCGAGCCGCTGGCTGGCCACGGAGCTCAGGTCGCCACACTCACAGCGGGGAGCACGCCAACCGATGCTCTGCTGCTTCTCCTCCTCCTCCCCGGGTTAGATTGTTTATAATGAACTGCGCACAACGAGGGAGCGTGCACCGCCCAGTGAGCGGCATCCCGCGCCCACACACGCGCCTCCCAGGTAAGCTCACATAGGCCATGCCGTTTCAGTAAATGTAAATTTTTATTGAGTATTGCACCACCGTCAATCGGAACCGTTCCCTTGGATATATTGTACAATAAAACACAAATTTCCTGGGCTTAACGCAGGGCTTCATTTCGGCCACGTCTGTACATGTCGGCTGCCCAGAATATATATATGTTTCCGTAGCTGGCACGTGACATCCAGGAGACTTCTCATCGCGGCAGCGGATGCTATGACGACGTGTCAACTGCTCCAGTCGACCGGCGAAAAAATAGTCGGTGTGAAACCAAGCCCTGGGTTAACGTACCACCACCGACGTGAACCCACGATTGCCCCGAACCCGAACGCTAAAGTGCCCGTCACCTCCAGTGCCCCGTTACAGAATTGCTCTCGTCTTACAAGCGCAGTGGCGAGGCCCCGAGCTAGAGGGACCCACCAGGTCACTGGCAAATAAACTCCATCCACAGAAGCCTCTGCTCCCGACCCATGTGCGGGTAAGCGTCAGCATTAATGTTACGGTGAAAGGCAATGGGAAAATGTTGCTGTTGGATAGCATTGAGTTTGTCGGTGGACCGACAGGCCTGACTAAGGCTAAGGTGGTGGGAGGGGAGGTACCAGCACCTTGATTGAGGACAGAGGGGGAAGCTGGGATGGGATTCTAAAAGAATGGCGAGAATTTGTTTTTAATGTTCTAATGTGCACTAATGCCTACTTTAATGATGGCGATATTGACACATGGAACAAAGATTGGTTTATTGAATTTGAGAAGTTCGTTTGGGGAGTAAGTCTGGTGCTTAATGGTGACGAACCCCAAAAGCGCAGAGAGAACTCAGCATGTGCGAGCGGCCACATCTTCACCGTTGCTTTTCTGCCAATGAAGCAGACGTCACTCTTGTTACCGTGGGCGGCGTAAACACGTTCGGTTTAATTCAGAATCAGAATCTTCTACTTTATCCTGGAGGAGGAATCCGATGAGCTGTGGAGCTCTTTGTCACAGATGTCCAGTTGTCAAATGCATCCCATGCCGGACGTCACTCGAGCGTTCCCCGTCAATAAATCCTCCTCCGCGCCACTTGTCGGGCTTTACGACTGAAGTTCCCGTCTCCCCAAGACCATTGATGCCCATTTTGCGATGCAGGGCACTACATTCATAACCGACCCGTACGGAGATCGTATTCATAAATAACAGCGCCGACGTGAACAGTCGCCTGCGTAATTGATGGGCATGCCGTACAGGCAAACGCCATAAAAGATCACCTCGGCCTGTAAACCAAGTTGTTTTTACAAGTCGGCACGGAATAAAAACCCCGACACGTCCATCCATGACGACACTTTGGCCTTAAAAGAAAGACGGAGGGCCACTGCCCCAAACTTTGCCCATTATATAACAAAAACAAATTCTTTCAAGACCAGTGTTATTGACGAATGTGGTGAGCTTTTTCATTCAAGTAAACAGATATTAAATCATCCATAATCGAGGTGGCTTGGCTCTCCAACACACCGGCGTGCTGTACTCGTGACGAATTGGCACGTTCTGTTTACGTGACAACCCTTACTAGTTGGCTGTGTAGGGTGGTGGTGGGTTTTAACGACACATTTATATATTTACGCGATCTAACCCTAAAACTTATATTATGAATGATATTGGTCGCGAAAGCCTACGTGTTAAACTGATGTTAAATCGCTTAATTTTATAACTACTTATGTGGGTTCGGTTTGTGTAATTTTGTGGAGATGCAGCTCACCTATTTATACCCAAAATTCGCTATACTATATAATGCGGCTTTGAATGCACTCGAGATGTGGCGATGCGGCCAGACGTGGAGCTGTGTGTAATGTACGCACCACTCGGCAGGCAGCTGCCTCGCGCGGGTTCGTTTTGTGTGCCACATTTTTGGAAGGAATCTAACTACTAGCGCATAGATCGAGAGAAAGCGGCATTTTGTTTACATGCAATGCAGTTCCTATTATACAAATGGCTTCAAGGGAATTGGATAATGACGTGTAGTTTTACACACATATGTAATACACGTATAACGGTAGTGGCGGCGTTCACACAAGTTGCATCTCACAATCACCAAGCAGCCCACGGCCAAGTGGGAAGGTAGCAGCCAGGCGGTGAGCTGGTGTTACCAACAATTGCCCAAGCTCTGCGGTCCTCGATATATCAAGACGTTTTAAGCCAATTAATTAGTGTTTATACGTGTGGGAGGAATCCGGAGCATCCGGAGAAAACCCATGCTTGTTCCCCTTTTCTGGAATACCAGGGTAAGTCGCCTCTTCGACGCTCACGGGAAAGGAGTTTCACAACATTTGTGCGATTCACCAACCCTTGCCTCCCACAGGGCCAGGTTTCAGGTGTGCATAGCCACCACCACCCGGCAAATAATCAAGAATTACCAGAGACATCCCACCGCGTGGTACACGGGTATGCACTTTTGCGATTAATATCTCAGCCACCTATTTAATTATAGATTAAAAACAAGATAATTTGCCTCGTCTCTGTACTGAATAAAAATGTTCTGTATCCTGTGCTTAGTGAATATTTCAACATTCGCTCCGATCAAGGCCTAGGGAAGGTTTCCTCCTTCGATCTACTGGGGCCTCACGTTTCCCTTGACTGGCCAGGGTAGCAATGGCGCAGACACGGGCAACATCTTTCAGAGCAAGAGCTAGAATTAATTAAATTAGGTGCTTCACATTTTAATAATCTATGTTCATGTAATAATTACAATGATGGAATACTGTGCACTAGTTGTGTATTGTACTGTACGGATACACTCACAGCTCATTAGTTGATCCACTGCTGGATGAGGGCCTCGCTATGTGGAGTAGGCTGCGGAGGGAGCGCAGACATTGGAGCACAGGACAGTAGAGAACAACAGTGGAAGTTGCTGCATCAGTCTCTACTGAAAACGCAGGCTTGCCGCAACCCACACCGCCGACTACGTAACGGCGGTCATCCCATCCGGTGTCGTCGGCTACGGCCAGCCCGTGCAGTCGAGTTCCCAGGATCTCATGAGACCCGGCACATTTCAGGTGAATCGGTCATCGGCCACATTTTATGGTGAGGGAAAGCTAAAGATGCAGCTCCGCAGGAAGGGGCCCCCCCACCCACGAAAGGTTATTTTGGCCTACTCTTCCACGCTGGGTGTTATCGTGTGACCGTAAATTGGCGTGGATTTCCCTGCTGATCCAACCAGGTCGGCCTGGGCCTCGCCTAACCCCCGAGCCGGGGGCCATCATTCCGGGGCCGATCTCAGCAGTGACGCAGCACCACCCGGCTCTGGCGCCACGCCACCAGGGCACAGGAGTGGGGGGGCGGGCGGCATGGCGCGCACGCCACACGCAGAGCGCGTCGGTATGAGCGACACCACGAGTGCCGGGTCCCGGTGGCTTAGGCTGCCTGGCCGCCCCATTGTGGGGATGGGCCGGGGACTGGACCGGGGTCCCAGCGCTTTACACACGGCGCGTAGAGAGACGCGGTTAACACAGCATAAATTAAAATGCATAAATATAGCGTGCGGTTGCGCACGTGGTATTGTGACGTTGGAAATGCTACCGGCGTCATCGCACAGTTAAAAAACGACGTCACAAGCGGGCACCAACATCTTTGCCGTCCATGCCCCGATCGCAGGAGAAGTCGGACTTGGCCTTTCCACGCAGTCCGATTGCCTATGCATCAACTTCATCCGGTGACATCAGAGCACCCGTGTTCTGTAGCAGCATGTGCAGTCTCAGCGAACGTGGAACGTTAGGTCAACGTTGGACCAACCACATGCCAACGTTGGCCCAGCGTTGTCAGCTTACTGGGAAGGCACAGGTAATAACACAGGCGACGAGTGAAACACCTGTGGGGAGATAAAAAAAAACATCTCGCAGCCCATTTGGTCACCTGGCAACCAACGGGCCCTGCCCGCGAGACGAATGCACTTCTAATTCGGTATGTAACGAGGCCTTAATCCCTCACTGCAACCACCATTCCGAGTCTAGAGATAGAGCCTTGGGGGAGTGGGGGAGGGAATGGAGGCGTCTCTCCGGTAGAATCATGCCCACGCTTCTCCGTCACATTGGCACTCGTAAGGGTGTGGTAAAAAATAATCCGTGAAAAAAATTACCGCAGTCAATCTCTTCCACCGTTCACGTCCTACTTCTTCTCCAGGTCCTGCGTGACCTTCTGCCACATGACCATGATCTCGTTAGGGTCGAACTTGTGCACGCAGATGAGCTCATTGAGGACGTAGTTGTTGGGCAGCGCATCGCGGTTCGAGGCCAGGAGGGCATCCACACCGTACGTCCTGAAGCCCAGGTGGTTGATGACCTTGACGTGCGTGGACTCGGCGCACAAGCCGAAGAAGACGTCGTCGATGGGGAAGATTTCGAGCGAGTGCGACGCGTTGAAGAACTTGAGCGCCGTCGAGCCGGCCATCGCCAGCCCGCCGCCGCCTACGTACGCCGGGTACGACGAGTGCGGCCACAGCTGCTTGGGCACGTAGTACTTGCTGGGCACGTAGCGCACGGGCGGCGTGTCGTCGATGATGTGCCCCACGTAGAGGTCGCCTCGTGGGTACCCGAGCAGCAGCTCCGCCAGGTTGACGGTGTGCAGGAACATGTCGTCGTCCCCGTTGTAGATGAAGGCCGCGTGCGGGCAGCTGTGGTTGAGCCAGTGCAGGAAGTTGACCTGCTTCACCGTCAGGTTCAAGAAGGTGTCCAGGAAGCCCCATTGCAGGATGTCGCCGTTCTTGGCGGCCTCCTCTCGCAGGAAGCGGTTGTAGAGGGGGCGGCGCGCCTCGTTGTCGGAGACGCCTATGAGGAAGAGCAGCCGCACCTGCAGGCCTCTCACCGCCACCTCCTGGCCCCACGTCTGGCGGATGGCGTGCCGCTTGCTGTAGCTCTCCGACAGCGACTTGATGACGAGCAGCAGCAGCGGCTGATCGGGTTTCACGCCGGCACACTTGTTGGGCTGGTCGATGATAATGGGGAAGCGGCGGCAGTGGCGGTACGTCATGAACTGCTGCATGTGCTGGGGCAGCGAGCCAAAGTCGGCCACCTCGGCCGCGATGTTGGCACGTGGATAGCACGGCTCCGTGTAGTTTTCGGCGGGCTTGGCCGGCAGTGCTGGCGTTGCTGGCAATGCCGGCAACGCCGGCGCCGTGGGCCCCAGGCCCCTCATCGCCTTTAACCACGGCATAAGGTTCTCGACGCCGTGCAGCGTGAAGAGGAAGGAGGCCACCATGATGACCGAGAGGACACAGATGACATACTTGCGCGGGATCGGCATGCTCGTGGAGGGGGGGGAGCACGGTCAGCGACGGCGCCGGTTTCCGCTGCTGCCTCCATAGCCAGAGGATGGGGTGCAGGGAAAAAAATAAATACAAATTAACACAAACATTGGGTTGGGTCCAGCGATTTCAGTCAGGATATATTTAGTGAATTTCCAGCGCCGACCCCGTGACCTCATGGCCCTGGTGATCACGCGCGGCATGGGCGGCAACGCAGGAGACCCCACGGCGGGCAGCGCGACAAACCGGAGAGCGCCGTTAAAAAAACTACAATCCCCGCGACGCTTCCGCGACGGGAACATAAAAAAACCCTTGCACACATCGCCACCCCCATCATCATCACCATCATCCCAAGCAGGTGTGTTGGCCACAAATAGAATGAAAGACGAAAGATGAGAACGAGATTAAGCAAGCACCAGTGGAACATCAAATACAAACACCCGCTCTCGGCAGCTGAGGAACCCGCCTGCCAACAAGGGCATTCGATTAATGTTGATAACGTTATTAAAACTACATTACTAACTAGTTACTACAAACCATGTATTACTAACCATTGTATCTCTAGGCATCACTGCCTGCTTCTTTCTGCTCACCTGTGAGGACTCGCTTATGACATCACAACACCTATTTCAGCCCCAAGACTGGAGTCGGCATTTTCACAATTCTGGCAGCTGCCTGATGGTGCTGGCTATAACTATCAGTGAGAGGTCCTCACCCAATTGTTGAATGTGTGTGGACCGCTCTCAAGCAACTCCGGTGGTGCTGCTGAACCAGTGATAAACTGGCTACGTTTATTAATCACGTGACGTCATCAATTAGTTGCCGGGCGGAGGAGGGTGTACGACACACATCGTACTCACGCGGAGATCTGACGCAGTCAATTGTGAATCATACTACTGGTTGTGAAAGCCTGTGTGTTCAATCACCAGAACCTCCACGCCACATCCTGTCCTCACGTTTCTCATTATTGTGGCCGTCTACTTTACAAGTTCACGAAAACATGGCCACAAGGTGGTACATGTATTATGAACTTCTTTCGTGCCGTACAACGCCAACCGTGCTCATCGGAGGTGCGAGGAAGGACAACAAAGTACACACAAAAAACAGTTCTAAATAAATTTGTTTTCAATCGAGGTTTAAAAGTGCATAGCTCCAGTGGCTTCCTAATATCGGAAGGAAGAGCGCTCCAGACGGCCGCAGAAGTGCATCTGAAAGCGTGCGATGCAGTGACCGTCTTTGTTCAATGTCCAGCCAAAATATTCGCAACACGTGTGGCATGTAAGCTGAACGTCGCAAGGTATCTGAATAGCCTGCCACTTGGAAGGCAGTTAGAAAGTGCAATCTGCCAGCCACAGATTCGGCTATTTGTTTGCTCAATTTTACAAAATGTAATTATATAATAAATTAATCTAAATGTCAAAAAAATTCACCTTTCATCATCATGATGGCTGCCCGGGGTCCAAACACAGCGTCTCCCTTGCCACAGTGGCCTCTCGACACGCAAGAGAAACACCGGTTGCTGTGGAAATGTTTTTTTATTTCATTCATATATTTCACTTGGGAAATTGCCTTCAGATGAAACATCTCTGTTTGCCAATGTGTCTAGGATGCTAGTTGACACGCACACACAGCACATTGCACGTGCACCATACTCATATACAACCACACATAAACTATACACACTCATAAACATAGATACAAAGAGCGAGCACCTACGAAGGCTGGAAATGCACACGAGAGGGTGGGTGACTAGCATCACGCCCGGCCGCCTCGTGATGATGTTTACACATCACACCAGATACTAATTTGTGGCTGAGTCGACCAAGGGGAGGCCCAGGACCGGTGTGCGTTGATAACGCGCCCAGCCGTGGATATATCTCGTCGTGATCAGATTGCCTGGGCGTGCACGCGAATGGTCAGCGCCGCTTCCGTGTCGTGGTGCGGCCAAACCGGCCGAGAGGCTTTGCCGGTCGCCGCTGCGGACAGGACGAACCAGCTGGGCTGGTTCTCTCGCGAGGGCGTTCCTCGGGTCTCACGGCACGCCACGTGGAACCATCGACGAGCGAGACACCGCGCCGCCACCTCGCGTGTTCTCACGTCACGAGGGCCTTCTCAGGACGGGGGTCGCGTCGTGTATTCTAAAGAGCAAATGTAAAGGTTTAGAAAAAAAATAACCGTTGTGACGTTTCTTTTGTTTAACCGGGTGAAAACTCAGAAAGCAGGATTTGCAAGAGTGACATCGGTCACGGTAAGGACAAAAGCCAAAGAAGTAAAAAATAAAGTACAGCAATTAGGCCAATAGAAATCGGAGCAAAAACAACTGCGATTGTAAAGCGCGAACGAGGAGAGTAGATCTCGTGGCCCTACACAGCCCGACCCCAGCAGTGTGGTCATTGCTACGATTCCGGATCACGAGTTCACGGGGGAGGCTCCACATCGTGCGAGCGACAACCGTAGCCAGGCGTTAGCCCGCCGGGTTCCACGTGCAGCCTTTGAGAGCGGCATGTGGGAGGAGTGGAAAGAGATAATGGGGGATCAATTAAATCTCACGAATAGCGACAAAAACACGTTCGTCAACAACACTCCATGTCGCTATGGGACCCCTTTGCCAGTATGAAGACGATGCATACTGTATCTTGACAATGATATCTTGATATCATATTGAATATCTTTTAATCTTTATCATTCAGTCTTGACTTTTATGAAAGAGCCCCATAGCTATGAATATATCATGATCAACGCACACGTGTGTGCGTTGATCATGATATATTGATATCAGGTCTTGATAGCAATCAACATCATTGAATACTCACGGTTGTGGCCTTAAAAGGAAACAAAATACACAAATAATAGGGGGACGTTTAGGGAAATGGCCGTGGTTATCTCAATGGGAAACAATATTGAATGATGTAATATGTAATTGTGATAGATGTCGCCAGAAATCGAGCACTGCTGAGGTGATTGTATCACACGTCACAGTTCCGGGGTGTCAATGGAAGCCATTTGATTGACAGGAGAATATGAATTTAAATTGTAGAGTCTGGTCAGAGACGGCGCCCCCACAGTCTACGTCCCGAGGCGAAGAGAGAGTGGGCCGATCACGGCTCGGCTCAACCTCTGGTTCGGCTCAACTCTGGCTCGGCTTAGTTACCAGCTGATTTTCGGATGTGAATCGGCCACCTTTCGTTTACACGATTTGCCCCGACAGATCGATGATAAAGGTGCCGGAAGGGTAAAGGCGGAATCATCGTGCGCAGAATTCTCGTGGTTCCGCACGTTCCACCGATTCCCGTCTAAACCTGATTCAAGTGAATCCCGTCGCCACTGCACGACCGCCGTGGTGTCGGCTCCAGGGGAGCCGCAGCAGCAGACGCGGATTCCAGACGCTTCCCCTGCCGGACGAGGGTGGGGGCTCCACCCGCACCCCCCCCCCCCCATAGGCGTCACCTATGGGGGGGGGGGGGTGATGGGAGTGGGGTTACCACCCCCATCAAGACAACGTTTCGGGCAATGGCCCAAATTCACAGCGCGTGCATGTTTTGCTGTGCTATGAAGGCTTACTACCCGAAACGTCGCCTATCTAATGTTTAAAGCCAAAGTGTGTTTTTTTTTAATTGACGAACGTGTTTAGTTTGTTTATTTACTGTGCTCATGCACCACTCTAACGCAGCAGCGGCAGCAGGAGGCTAGCCAAAAGGAATCGTATTTTAGATTACTCACCTGTTACATAAGTCACGTTCTCAGGTAGGGCTGTGTGCATCAGTGGTTTTACGTGGAAACGTTAATTCACTGTAGAGGTGAATATTCCGAGCATGAACGTGGGACCCGCGCTCTGGAACCCAAAGGTGACACAGCTGCTCACTCCCGTCACGCACAGAATCCACGAGTACCCCCACCCCATCGATGGAACTGTACTCCGGCAGAGGCAGTCGGCTCAAGTTCCCAAGTGACAACATCAATACGCAGACAAACGCGCCTCCTCCCCGTGACCCTGTAACGAGGCCCGTCTCTGCAGAACGCGCCTCGCCCCCCCGGGGGTCCAACCCTATGAGTTGGACCCCCCTTGACAACCACCACGAGATGCTTTTCAACAACAGTGTAAAATAACTAAAACACGTATTTTACGAAGATGGAGCGCCGCTACAGCGTGACATGTTTGAGACCGCATTGATTTGATTTTGACAACATGAGCCGCGATATTTAACAGCCGAGGTGCGACCGTGCAAGACAAATCAAATATTGGGGCCCCACCTGACCGATTGCTGCAACCCCTGAGCTGACAATGTCGTCGCCACTGCGCCACTGGTCCCTGCCTATGAACATCTGGCAGTTCACCAGCATTAGGTGCAGCACGCGTGACTCTGCTGACGAGACAATTAATGTCAAACCCGGTTCAGAGTTCTGCTTGCGCTGAACCAAAGCCGCAGTCGCCAGAAAGGCCGTGCGTGTCTAAGAATGGGACTTGTAGTTCCATGTGGAGGGACGGAGATGGATGTGGAGGAGGCGTGCGCTGCCTCCAGTGCTCTAGCCCTGCCCCTGGGCCCCTGTGCTGGGCAGGGAGTTGCCACCGTGCGGCTCCCCTTGTGACACGTAACGATAAAACTAGTTCTATGTTGATTTGAAGCTGTCGCGACTGCAGGAATCCATACTCTTTGGTTCTTTCAGTAAAGTCACGTGGGTATAAAGTAACAATAAACTCGTTCTGTTGTCCAAGCAGAGGCCCACTATGCGGCAGCTCTATTTCAGAAGCGACCTGCCCACGGATTGCAGGGTGCTTCATCTTTTTAATGGAAAAATAACGGATGATACACCGTAACATGACAAATGTTAATAGCTTTAAAAGGTCAGTTCACCATCGTTGTCAACGCGTGCCTGGAATCTGGTCCAGGTGGTCTCCAGAGCCCGGAGGCACATTTCTCGTGGTATTGTTGCAAATTCTTACAAGTGTAAAAAACATGTTTGAAGCACCCTGCACAGCTCAACTAAATGTCTTCTGTGGAGACCCCAGAGAGCAATCCACGCCGTCACAGGGAGAGAGAGAGACACGCAAACTCCAGAAATAAAGAGGCGTTAGGGTCGGGATCGAACCCATGTCCTCCTGTGTACCAGGCGAGGTAGTAAACATCTCATCACCGTGGTGAGATGGGGAAGTTACAGAGGCCATCTCCCATCACGAGGCTGCCTGCGGCACTCGCCTGGTGACAACAGCACCACGGGAGAGGCAGCCGCCTCAAGAGACCAGCGATGGTGGGCACGGGTAAGACGGGCACGCGAGAAGACAGGTGAGAGACATCACGCGGTGGGTTACAGGTGAGAGACACCAAGTGGTGGACACAGGTGAGAGGTGGACACAGGTGAGAGACACCGTGAGGTGGACACAGGTGAGAGACAAAGGTGAGAGGTGGTCACAGGTGAGAGACACCGAGAGGTGGACACAGGTGAGAGGTGGACACAGGTGAGAGGTGGACACAGGTGAGAGGTGGTCACAGGTGAGAGACACAAATAGGTGGGTCACAGGTGAGATCACGGGATGGGTGAACGAGCTGTATATTGATCCATAAGAGAGTTTTTTTGTGTTAGATCGCGTAAATATATAAATGTGTCGTTAAAACTCACCACCACCCGACACAGCCAACCAGTAAGGGTTGTCATGTAAACAGAACATGCATATTCGTCACAAGTACAGCACTAACCGGTGTGTTGGAGAGCCAAGCCACAACATTTACAATCTGAGTACGACGTTTCGCCAGTACTTACAACCAGCTTCATCAGGCGACAGCCAGATTCGGGGACAAGTCTAACTGTTTCATTCCTTATCTAGAGGCGTAGATGTGGTGACCACCCTTCTGCGCTCTTGCACAATGTGGGGGGGGGGGGGGGGTTACTGAGGCAACGTACATGATGTGCATTATGCGAGCCCTTTCAACTTGTCCTTCCTGTCTATTGTGTTTGATAAAATGTCCCTACCAACGGTAATCCCTATTGAAGTACGTTACTCTTTGTAGGAATTCATTTAAATAATTTTTTATGTGATGATTCGCTTCCGCGCAGCACTAAGGCGGTAGCAATTCGATTAAAGTTATTTAGATTTCTTTCAATTTCGATAGATTCTCCTTGTTGACACGCGTGTTCTGCTACTGCTGACAGTTGTATTTGGGAGTATTTCATATTTCTCTGATGTTCTTTTTAGTCTCGTGCTGATCATTCGTCCTGTTTGCCCAACGTAACATTTACCACACGTGCAGTTAATCCTGTACACACCTTCTGTTGATAGCTTCGGTAATGCATATTTTGTACCAGATATTAATTTCTGTATTTTATGTACCGTGCCAAATCTGACTCGGATTCATACTCTTAGTTCTTTCGGTAAAGTCACGTAGGTAAATTTTTTTAATAAAAATTAATCAAAATAAAATAATAAAATCACGACGTTTCGGAGGCAACACAAGTCTCCGTCATCTGCTGCATCTGGCTGTGACGGTCCCACCTGATGACTTTACCGAAAGAACTAAAAGTATGAATCCTTGCAGTCACGAAAGCTTCAAATCTAGAATCTGACTAGGATGTTTTGTTTTTATATACATCTGGCGAGTTTATAAATTACTTCCGCAATGTACGGCATTTTATCGTTTTAATTACTTGGGCAGTTTCAATGCTCTTCTTTGATTTGGTTTTGGTGTTCAGAAGCGTGGCCACAATCAGTCCAGGAGGCGCAGGGTGGGGAGCACGAGGACACGGAGACACGGAGACACGGGGACACGGAGACACGGAGACACGGGGACACGGGGACACGGGGACACGGAGACACGGAGAAACGGGGACACGGAGACACGGAGACACGGAGACACGGAGACACGGGGACACGGGGACACGGAGACACGGAGACACGGAGACACGGAGACACGGAGACACGGGGACACGGAGACACGGGGACACGGAGACACGGGGACACGGGGGACATGGCGCACTTACCCAGGCAGCTCGGGTCGCGTCTGCCGGCACACGGAGATGGCGAACTCGTGGGGCTGCTGGGGGCAGCTGGAATCAACTGGAGGTGGCCCGCCGCAGCTCCCTCCCGTTCACCGGCGGTGACAGCGCCAGTTTGGTGGGCGCACGGACCGCGCCGGTTCCTGAGGGCTCCACGGGGCGGGGCCTCGTCGCAAGAGGCGGGGCCATCCACACAGGGGGCGGAGCCTAACGAGTTTTTGGGTCCAATTTGCATATTCAAGTCGAGGGGGGAGGCAGGGGGGCTGAATACATGGGAGGGGCTTGTGGGATTGGGGCGTGGTTCTTGCGTTAGGTGGCTAAAGGCCAGTCGGGGTTTTATGTTGCACTAAAATTAAAACATCCACAAAAGAGGTTTTTCGGGTTAGAATGCGTAAATATATAAATGTGTCGTTAAAACCCTCCGCCATCCGACACAGCCAACTAGTAAGGGTTGTCACGTCAACAGAACGTGGCCAATTCGTCACTAGTTCAGCACTAGTGTATAGTGTAGTGTATAGTGTATAGTAGTGTAGTGTGTAGTATAGTATACTAGTACAGCACGAACCGGTGTGTTGGAGAGCCAAGCCACAACATTTACAATCTGAGTACGACGTTTCGCCAGTGACCACAAGCAGCTTGAGGCACATCTGAAAAAGGGCGTTTTATCGCAGTGGTCCTTGTTTGGTAAGATCCAAACACTCTTCGGTTCTTTCGGTAAAGTCACGTAGAAATAAAATAAATTATGATTTAATTATTAGACGACGTGACTTTACCGAAAAAACCAAAGCGTCATTCCTGCAGTCCCGAAAGCTTCAAATCAAGATCTAAATAGTTGAGTTTGTATGTCAGTGTCAGGTGCTGTGTTTGAAGGAAAGCCCCGTGGGCTTCAATGTTGGACCACTGCGCCCGCAAGCGCTTGGGCAGGGAGACACGGGGCCACACACTTCTTCCTCCACATGAGACATATCTTCACGTATCCACATACTTCTGTGTATACGTGTACTGCACATATACCATACGCGTCCTGTCAGCCACGCGGCATCGTGCTGTTCACAGACAGGCCAAGCCACTTGCCATGTTGAGGTCTTCTCTGAAGATTCGCCTGTTTCGCCTGGCCTACACTTCCCATGTATGACCAGTGGACACTTGAATTAGTCGTACGGTATTTTTCTTTCCAAACTTCATGCATGGCGCACTGATATCCCTGGATGAATTGCGCCTTATACATGAGTATTACTATGTGGCGGTGACGTCACCTCGACGCTTGCGCCAGGCTAGGTGCACCTTGAGGCCGTCACGTGAAGTGTGGAAGGGTGTCGTTTCTGGCAGGTCACGGGACAGACTGACAAGCCAAGGGTTGACTGCTGAGATGACTGGCAGATGGACCAACTGTGTTCCACCCTGGGCCAACTCGCTACGTTTTATCCACCGGGCGCTCCGCTCGTTGTTGTGAGAAGTCGCTCCTCCGCCCTCCGTTGTTGTTGGAGGGCGACTGCCTCCAACTGCCCAGTAGCAGCGTCCTTCACGAGGCCCCTCCATGGTGCACTCACTACCTGCATGAGACGCGGGAGAAAGCTGTGGCGCTCTCGAGGGCTCACTGGCGAAAGATACAAATCATCCGCTGAACAATGCCTCATCCTCCTCTGAGATGTTCTTCAACCTCGTCACCGGCCAGGCACATCGACTCACGGAGCTCGGGGTCCGGCCAGGATATAAGACCGAACCTGTTTCGCACCACTTTGTTTTTGGTCGATCGTAAAAGTTCAGATTCATTCCTGAGGCCACCAAATATCACGAGGAGTCAGCCTCTGCGCTTGAGCTGTGCCTGCATTGCAACGTCTTGACACTAGACTTTTAGAATCTTCACCTTGGATTTCCAGAAATAAGTAAAATGACAAATGAGAAAAACGACAACAGCAACAATTAAATGAGTAGCGGCCGGTGTGAGCAGAGCTCCATCCTCTGTCCCCAAAACACGTCCACTGTGGTAGTGCACTTTGGTGGAGGTCCACTGTGGTGGACTGTGCTGGTGGACTGTGGTGGTGGTTCACTGTGGTGGACTGTGGTGGTGGACTGTGGTGGAGGTCCCCTGTGGGTGGTGGACTGTGCTGGTGGACTGTGCTGGTGGACTGTGGTGGAGGTCCACTGTGCTGGTGGACTGTGCTGGTGGACTGTGCTGGTGGACTGTGGTGGACTGTGGTGGATGTCCACTGTGGTGGAGGTCCACTGTGCTGGTAGACTATGGTGGAGGTCCACTGTGGTGGAGGTCCACTGTGGTGGACTGTGCTGGTGGACTGTCGTGGAGGTCCACTGTGGTGGTGGTCCACTGTGGTGGACTGTGCTGGTGGACTGTGGTGGAGGTCCACTGTGCTGGTGGACTATGGTGGAGGTCCACTGTGGTGGAGGTCCACCGTGGTGGACTACTACGTTTTGTTGGCATTTCAGCCACGGTTCCTTTGACTCCCGAAATACAATGAACTAAAAAAAGATTCCGGTTTTAATAATAAGCCACCAAGAAGATGGTTGAGCAGCACAAGCCACATTCCATCTCTAATGTTTATTGCTGTGCGTGCATTCAACAAAGCCCACATTGTAAGTTTGGCTCACTGGTGAGTATCAGGTGTGCACGTCCTTCGAGATTACACAATGACTTGACGTGAGAGCTTTATGGAGGCTTCCTCCTTCTGTTCCTCACGAGTTCCGGGTTTATGAGTGACCAGGGACAATGAGCCGCGAACCCCGCAGCTCAAGAGGTCACGGAAGGTTCGCGGGGTGAGTTGGCGACAAGTCCCGACAGCCACGGGTCCTTCAACAACAGCGAATTCGTTCCTGCGGAGCGAAACGAAACGCACGGCTCCTCGCCACGACGCTTCGTGCAGAGTGGCGTCGTGACCAACGTGGCACCCCTCGCTGGTTCACCCTGGTTGTGTTTGTGCTTTACGGGCGGATTCAGATTACGCAACACACACCTCACGCTCACGTCTCCACCTGCCTCGTCTGTAATGGGAGAGGCTGTCGCCCACCTCCCACGCGTGGGGTTTCTCCGGATGAACTGGTTTCCTGCCACGCAAAGTTTGTGGGGAGTATTAGTCATTTTCTATACCTTTGGGGCAAAAGCAATTAGAAACTAACACGTTTTACCCAGGAACAAAAATCGTGTTCCGTCGCGTTATCCAACATCGCAACATCGCCCTCTCCTGTGAAGGTCTGGCATTGCCCTCTACTGTGAAGGCCTGGTATTGCCCTCTACTGTGAAGGCCTGGCATTGCCCTCTACTATGAAGGCCTGGTATTGCCCTCTACTGTGAAGGCCTGGCGTTGCCCTCTACTGTGAAGGCCTGGCGTTGCCCTCTACTGTGAAGGCCTGGTATTGCCCTCTACTGTGAAGGCCTGGCGTTGCCCTCTACTATGAAGGCCTGGCGTTGCCTTCTACTGAGAAGGCCTGGTATTGCCCTCTACTGTGAAGGCCTGGCATTGCCCTCTCCTATGAAGGCCTGGCATTGCCCCCTACTGTGAAGGCCTGGCGTTGCCTTCTACTGAGAAGGCCTGGCATTGCCCTCTACTGTGAAGGCCTGGCATTGCCCTCTCCTATGAAGGCCTGGCATTGCCCCCTACTGTGAAGGCCTGGCGTTGCCTTCTACTGTGAAGGCCTGGTATTGCCCTCTACTGTGAAGGCCTGGCGTTGCCTTCTACTGTGAAGGCCTGGTATTGCCCTCTCCTATGAAGGCCTGGCATTGCCCCCTACTGTGAAGGCCTGGCGTTGCCTTCTACTGTGAAGGCCTGGCATTGCCCTCTCCTGTGAAGGCCTGGCGTTGCCCTCTACTGAGAAGGCCTGGCATTGCCCTCTCCTGTGGAGGCCTGGCATTGCCCCTTACTATGAAGGCCTGGTATTGCCCTCTCCTGTGAAGGCCTGGCATTGCCCCCTACTGTGAATGCCTGGCATTGCCCTCTCCTGTGGAGGCCTGGCATTGCCCTCTCCTGTGGAGGCCTGGTATTGCCCTCTCCTGTGGAGGCCTGGTATTGCCCTCTCCTGTGAAGGCCTGGTATTGCCCTCTCCTGTGGAGGCCTGGTATTGCCTTCTCCTGTGAATGCCTGGCATTGTCCTCTACTGTGAATGCCTGGTATTGCCCTCTCCTGTGGAGGCCTGGCATTGCCCTCTCCTGTGTAGGCCTGGCATTGCCCTCTACTGTGAATGCCTGGTATTGCCCTCTCCTGTGGAGGCCTGGTATTGCCCTCTCCTGTGGAGGCCTGGCATTGCCCTCTACTGTGGAGGCCTGGCATTGCCCTCTACTGTGAATGCCTGGTATTGCCCTCTCCTGTGGAGGCCTGGTATTGCCCTCTCCTGTGGAGGCCTGGCATTGCCCTCTACTGTGGAGGCCTGGCATTGCCCTCTACTGTGAATGCCTGGTATTGCCCTCTCCTGTGGAGGCCTGGTATTGCCCTCTCCTGTGGAGGCCTGGCATTGCCCTCTACTGTGAATGCCTGGTATTGCCCTCTCCTGTGGAGGCCTGGCATTGCCCTCTACTGTGAATGCCTGGCATTGCCCTCTACTGTGAATGCCTGGTATTGCCCTCTCCTGTGGAGGCCTGGCATTGCCCTCTACTGTGGAGGCCTGGCATTGCCCTCTACTGTGAATGCCTGGTATTGCCCTCTCCTGTGGAGGCTTGGCATTGCCCTCTACTGTGAATGCCTGGTATTGCCCTCTCCTGACAACGAGTTGGGCTCTTGAGGCTCTCCTCGGAAACTCATAACAACAATAATCACCCGTTCTGTGCTGCTGAGGGGCACTGTGGCCAATCGAGGAACAGACTTCCGTTTGTAATTCCATATAAATAAGAGCGATTTCTATACTCTTAGGCTTTTTCGGTAAATTCACGTAGGAAAAAATAATTAAATAATAATATAAATAATAATATAAATAAAATAATTATTAAGAAATAAAATAATTATTTTAAAATAAAATAAATATTTTATTTCTATAATTATCTATAGTATTTTATTACTTACTTATTTTTTTACCTACGGGACTTAACCGAAAAAACTCTAAGAGTATGATTCCTTACAGTCACAAAAGCTTCAAATCAAGAGAGATTTCGTTCATTGTCACGCTAGCCCTTTGAACAAATGTCATCCAGTAGCGATTGTATAACCAGAACATCGGGGGAAGGTAGCGGTGTTTGTTCGGCAGGAC